AGATAACTAGGTCCAGCTTTGACCCATAGACCACTCCTGCCAGATAAAGGCAAGAAAAAGGAAAAAGAAAACACCAAAAAGAACAAATCGAAGTTTTTGAGAAAAAAACGTAGAAATGAGTTGAGGCGTTGTGTCTGTGTACCGCCAGTTAACACACGCAGAAAGAGATCTGTCAAAGGCACCCACGACGCCCAGCCTGCTTGATCCAACCTAGCAACAAAACAGGGCAGGGCAGGGGCAGACAACCGCGTCTCTGCCTCCACGGGCTTCCCATGCTGCGGCACATTGCTAGCCTCGTGCGAATTGAGTGTGCCTCTGTTCGCCTGTTTAGGTAGTCCAGGCGTTGAAGCCAGACCGATTTGAGCAATAGTGGCATCCATCATGGGGCAGACCCTTGCAGCTTGCAGCCGTGGACGCGGCTGTTGGTTCGCCTGAGATAGCCGTGGCTTTCCTTCTAGCCTCTCTCCTACCCTGGCTCTTGTTCTTTTTTTCGTATCCACCAAGGCAGTTGAGGTGGGTGGGTGAGTGGATGTGTGTGTGTGAGGACGGAGAATGCGCTGGTGGTGACACCAAAAGCAGAAGCCACGTTGAGAAACGCATAGACCGGCCATCAAACTCCACTGGCCTGTGGTACTTGGTCCATCTTCTGCGTCAATGCTGCTGCAGTGGCAGTCTAGACTGGCAGTGGCAGTCACAAGTCCCGGCGTGCGTTGTTTTTGCGTTTTTGAGGCTCCCGTCTTTCTCTTCCCTCTCCGCTTGCCGTTGAATTGCGTGATTGTTGTCCCCGTCACTCTGTTGCTGCTGCTATCATCGCTGTAACTGTTGCTTGTTGTTGTTGTTGTAAACTGGGGGTTGTGGCTGTCACCGCTGCTCATCACCAGATGTACAGCATGCGATGCTCCCAGCTCAACCATGCTTGGCGTATATGCGTATGCATGTTTGACATGACATGCGGAGCGCGGTGAGGAAAAAAACGTGTGCGCGTGAGAGTGTAGGTGTGAGTGTGTGCGTGTGGCCAGCCACTTCGCCAATCGGAACGGGAGCGTGTGTGTCGTACGGTCAACCGCCCAGCGTGACGTTGTGTATACCAAGCCCCCCTCCGAGACCAGCTCGTTCAGAAAGACAGACAGACAGACAGACAAAGTTTGGCGGGCGGGTGAGTTCCCGTAGTGCAAGCAGAACCTGACTATCTTGCTTCTGCATATCATAAGCCTCTTCCTGCTTTCCTCTAGACGCCGTTAGGGCTGGTCCAGCCGATCCTCGGAGTGCCGATGATGGTGTTATGGCGCCGGATCTGCTCAGGAACGTCGATATTGGCGTGGTCACCGGCGTAGTCTAGCTGGACATCTGCAATGCCATAGGGAAACTCGGCGGGCGACGGCTCCAGGTACATCTGCTCCTGTTGGCCCAGGTATGAAACCGCGTGAATGCCGCTGTGACCATTGCCTCCGCCAGCCACTTGTTGGTCCATCCGCGGTCCTGTCATCTGCAGCCCAAAGAGCTCTGTGGCGGCGGTGGCTGCGGTCCCAAAATCCGCGCTATTGCTGTGCGCTTGCACGATGGGGGTCTGGATGGCCGTCGGGTCGATCCGTGAGATTGCAATGGGCATGGAATAGAACGGATCGGCCATGGTAGCTGGGGGCGAGCCCAGCCCGTTGTCAACGAGCCGATACTGGCGGCCACTGGCCAGCGGCAGCTCTTGGCCGTACAGATGGCTCCGAATACGCGAGTTTCTAGCCGCGCATCCGCCCTTCTGCCCGGACAAGGCCCTGACGCTGCTGTTGCGTTGGTTGAGCCGCCGCTCCATTCCCATGTCCAGATGGCTTGAGCTGCGTCTGCTCGAGCGACGCCCAGAGTTCCCTTTGCGGTATCTGGTCGTGCTCTGCACCCCATCGCGGACGGCCCAGTCTTCTAGGATCCATTCGTTCGCTCGCTTCACCTCACCTGCCAATAAGGACTCGCCTTCTGCGCATGCTGAAGGGGCGGCATCCTCAGCGCGCTTGCGATCGCGTCTTTTGAATGCCTAGAATAGAAGAGTTAGCATCTGGTAGACTCCCAGCCACTGAATTGCAGCAGAAATTGAAACCGGGCAGATTTGACTTGATAGTCTCATACGCCGCAGCAAATAGCAAGCCAAGAAAGAAAGAAAAAGAAAAGAAACATGCAGATGTTAGCCCCACTTGCCGGGGTCTTTAGAACCGGTGTAAGACAGAAAAGAAAAAGAAAGAAACCAAAGTCGGGCTAGGGTAGAACACTAAAACAACAAACATGCTAGGCTTCGGTGACTAGGATTCACTCACGGCATTCATGCTAAGGTTATGGCGGATGCTGTTCTGCCATCCGCCCCTTTCGTTCTTGGCCTTGCTAGTGTGGTCTCGGAACCATTGGTAGAGCTCTTGCAGGGTCATGGTATAATCCGGTTGGCCCATCAGAGCCTTGTAGATGAGCTTGGCGTAGGGCTCATCGGCCTTGTCGTCAGGCCGGGCACTGCTCATTGTCATGGGCTCGTCAGCTCGAGGAGCGGAAAGGATCGATTCCATGAATTCCACATCCTGGCCGTCAATATGTTCGACCTTGGGCGAAACGAAGGAAGCAGGAGTTTCTGCTTGCAAGCCGTCTGGCGATCCAGCACTCGAAGAGGCAGGAACAGCAGATAGTTCTGGCATCGCGTGAGAAGACACCGAAAGGTTGTAAGCAGTCGGGATGTCAATGTCTGATTCGGGATGAAAGCTCGCCGTGTAGGGGGTATGTATGTCTGAGTGCTGAAGAGGAAGCTCTTGTGCCGACATTGGAGTGCAGACCCTATCAAAGGGCTGATCTCCAGGATGCTGCGAATGGATATAGCCTGACGTCGGAGGATAGCCAGATACCGATGATGACCATTCTCCAGGAGAAGCGGGCGCAATGTTGTGGCAAGGTAGAGATGCTCTTCCGCAAGCAGGCAAATCTTGATAAGGCATACAATATTGGATATCTCCCGGTCTCAGAGGGGGCGATGGCCAGATGCTGTGGCTTCTTGGCTGATACGGCGAGTAAGGGCTCATATATGCAGAAGATTCAATGCAGCAAGCTGGTGGCGATAGCACAGGGCCCCCTTGTGAGCATTGAAGATCTTGATGTCGTTGCTGCTGTGGGAGAGCGCAAACCGCCGGAGTAAACGAATATGTATCAGGTTGGTGATGCTGTTGCCCCTTCTCAAAGCTAGACGGCAAAGGGGAAAAGGCCGCAGGCGAACAGCAGCCCATGGAGGTCGATTGCTTGGTAGATTGGGGGTGCTGGAAATCCGTGTAGCTTTCCACCGGAAGCTTCCTGTCCAAAATGGGCGAAGCCATAGGAAGGAATGGCGGGTGAAGCCCAAAGGGAAAGCAGAGGAGGATGTCGAGACGGAGCAAATGGGGGAGTAGCAAAGAAGGAAGTATTGTATGCCGAGAGACTTTCTGGGTCGAGAGACGGAAAGACCTGATGCTGTAACGACGTCGTCAGGAGACGGGAAAGTGGGAAAAGTGTCGAACCAGGCAGATATGTAAGTGGAGGCGGCAGAGTGCCACAAGAAGGGCAGTATGGGACACCCGAGCTATGGGAAGCTATAAGAGGATGGAGGGGAAACAAAGGACAGCCGATGGGATGACAGTGATGAGCAGGTGGAAGTGGGAAGTGGGAAGTGGGAAGAAAAGTATATAAACAACTGTTATAACACGGCACAGTACAAGTGAATGGGCTCTTGGTCCAGCGGTGATGGCTCTGATAGCACGAATTCCCCGGGGAAAATGAAGCTATTTATCGAGAAGGGGGAAAAAGTCATGGAGAAGACTCGATGATCAAGGTGACCCGGCCCATGGGGAAGAAGGGACCCTGCCTGCCGGTCTCTATACATCCAAGACCCATAACTCCCGGAACAGATTCGTCCAAGATCGGTCCTCCCGGGGGGTGAGCGCAGGCATCTCGGATACACCATAGACACTAGTGACATGAGGTGCCTGTTCAAACCTTTGCCCCTCCTCATGGATGCCCGGGTGCGCATGAGTACCCGAGCATCTCCTTGTGCGCCACATCTTTATAGTGCGTGTATGTGCGTAGGTAGGTACATACAAGAGAGGAGTGATCGAGTGAGAAGAGAGAGAAAAGAGCAGTTGTATGCACGAGTTCCAGTCGTGACGTGTAGTGCCGTGTACACGTCTCCTTGCGGACCATCCAAGCATCTTTTTTCCTTCCCCAGGCCACCCAAATATAGACAGATGGACGTCCCTCCCTATTGGTGGCCCTACAGAGAGAGAGGCCATGCGAACAAGCAATCCAGGGTCCGCGGTGCCACTTGCACACACACGCACCCCGTAAACTTAGAAATCGCCAGCCCAGCAAGCCCTCAATGCGACCCTCTCATGCACATCACTTCTGTCTCTTCAGACGTGAAGCCACCGGTTACACCTTGAGTAACCTGGGGAAAGGCTCATTGAAACAGTACCGGGGTGCTGTCGATATGGATAACATGGCCGGCCGGCTGAAGGCCCAGACGACCAAGTGTGTAACGAGGCCGGGGACACCAGTAGAGAGGAAAACGGAGGCGACCAGCGTCGTTGTCCTTTTTTCCCTTTCAGCGGCAGTGAATAGGATCATCTCCCATGTTGCCGTCGCTATTTTCTGCTACAATTTCCCGTTCCCCGAAGCCACCAGCGTCGGAATTTCCACGTCCATGCAGAGCACGGGTGTCTTGGCCCGGCTTTAAGTGGCAGCCCGCCGTTATTGGTCTACATACGAACGACGTACATTTGCCATCTGTAGGCATGTCCGGGCTGCTACTTGAACTTCTGCCTCGAGTCAGCTCTGTCCACACTCTTAATTGGCAGCAGCGGAGTCTCTACCCTTCAGCAACGGCTATCGGCATGCCGCCGGAGAGGGATCCAATGGGATTTCGTTGATGGACCCTTTATCCAAGGTCTTGCCTGGGTACCCGGTAATAGCGTAGCTGTGGAAGCTTCTCCTACCGCAGATGCTTCTATACAATGTACGTCAAGGCTGTGGCCGCGGAAACGGCTGAAGGCTTGCCGCAGGGAGAGGGAGAGGGTGTGTCCGGGTACGTATATGTCAGGGGATGCGGAAACGAGTGCAATGATGGAGCTCAGTCAAGCCAATAAGTTTGATTGCCATCCGTCTCGCATAGGAGCAGCCTTCTAGTCCGGAGATGGAACGCCATGCATACGGCTACTCTATCCGCCCAATAGTCCTTACGTCCTGTTTCAGCTTCCAGCAGGCCTGGTCTCTGGCTCCAAGTCTCAGTCGACTCGTCCAGAGCACCAGAAAGGGGAGCCCATCGATGCATCATCTCGCGGATCTCCGAGATGTCAAAGAGTCCCCTGTGAGGGATCCCCAAGGTCACCGAAAAAGGTATCTGCTGAGCCTTCGCGAAACATTCTAGCCCTAGAAGTGGGACAGCAGGATTCCTCAGTCGCAGATCTACCACCACCGGCAACGGGCAAGCAGCATCCGCGAATTCGAAGCCCGAGCGACGAGCTAGCCTCAGCCGAAGATCAAGGTAGTGGTTACGTATAAAGCTGTGAAAGAGATGTACAGGTACCAGCAAAAGACACTGTGGCAGCGAATTAGCGATTCTTTTGTTTTTTTTCTTTTTCCTTTCCTTTTGTTTTGTTGTTCTTTCCCTTTGTTTATTAGCCTTGGATTAAGTACTGTTCCCATTCTAGTTTTTTTCTTCCCTGTGTGCGCGTATCTAGCCTTGTTTCCCCTTCTTTGGTGGGTCGAGGTATTCGTAATAGTAGTATCATTCAGCACATTGTCGTCCTGCTCTTTGCGGTTCTCTCTTCTCCTCTTGTCGTCGCCTTAGCACGCCAAAAGACCGTACCCGACAACTTTGATACTGTTGTGATGCAGGGGTAGGCGACTAATGCATGAAAGCAAACTATGCATCTGTCATTCCCCGATTCTCTGTTTACTTTCTGTAGAATATCTGCAGACATCAATTAGCAGCTGTTTCTTGTCCTCGATTTTGATCTAATTCCTTTCTTTTTCCTCGTATGGAGGAAAAAAAAACCGAATAGAAGCCTTATCTACTCTGCTTACCTTTTTGAACTGGAAATGCAACTGTAAAATTCCCTATAAGGCTACAGCGTTAGCAGCTCGACAGGGTCAAGGCAATTAAACGAAAGAGTGCCTAGGCAAGATAGGGCCGCGCTTGTGGCGGCTCTTTTACCATGTTGGCTGAGCTGGCCAGCGTGACTCGAGACAGTGCCAGGGAAAGGGGGGATAAAAAAAGCAAACCGGGTAATGGGAACATGGTGGTCGATTCGTACCTTATCAAATGAGCTTCTGAAGCCACGCTCTCTCTTAGCGCTATAATCCCATTCACGGTCAACTATCCGGAACGCAATGTCCTCGTACGGAGGTCCCGCGATGAAGCGGATGAGACAAGTGTCCACCTCGCCGGCCGCAGCAAACGACTCTCCTCGTCTCCTACCATGTTCGCGGATAATCTTAAACGTGGGTGCTTTAGTCTTGTCTACCAAATCGGGGTAGAAGATGTTGAATTTGTATCCTTGCACCACTTTAGGAGGAGGATTGTCATGATCGTAGTGCGTCTGGTTGTACTTGTTCCACTCATAGCCCATCTGCACACGATTGAAGTACCTGGGCTTGCGAGCCTGATACTTGTCTGTCCACTGCGGGGGTTGCGCGCCACTAGGCAGGGCTTCCTCAGCCGCAAAGACTTCCTCATTTTCAGACACCCCGCGTGCCGCCTCTCTGTCGTATAGTGCCATTGTGGCTTGAGAGTCGTCTGCGTTCCCGGTTTCATAAGCATCCACTTTGTTTGTTGCCGCCAAGGAGCCACCTGAATTATGGCTGCTACTAGTGGGCAGACCGCTGTCTCTAGAGGGCTCCTTTGAGCGCGGAGCCCTTTTTGCAAGCCGCTCCTTCTTCTTCGCCTCGATGTCTTCCGCTATCCGGGCGAGCGTGGCCTTGGCCTTCCATACCCTGAGGCTGCGAAGCAATTGTTCCCAGTAGTCGGTATCAATGTCTTCGTTTGACTTTAACTTGGTCTTGATCTGCTTCTCCAGGGCCTCAAGCTCGTCGAATGTTTTTGGTGCCAAGATCCTGTCTATATCGTCTGCAACGCTGCTCACGACTCTCCCTTCGTGTCCCCGCGGGTCGAGTTTGGCCCTTCGATCCGCACATAGTGTCCGCAAAGCCTCCCAGTATCGACGATTCCGCGAATCTGTCTCCAGAACATGATAAGATACAATATTCGAGTCGAGCTCCGATATCTGCCCAGCAGAAGATAGATCTTGAATGACCTTTGCAGGTGGAGCCACTTCAATCTCGTCGTCGGCATCATCGTCATCGAAGACATCGCGGTCGGCATCGACAAAGCGCAGGTTGAAAGCCAGGATGTCGATGGGCTTCGCCCTCCCTTCGCGCACCCGAATGTCGGCCTTCTTCTTGGCTTGCTTCAGCACGAATTTGTCCTCGTCAGCAACGAATTGTCGCGATTGTTCGTCTTGCGTCAGGTACTTGGCAGCATTGCGCGCAGATGTCGACGGGCCTTGTCGGCTCGGTTTGGACACCCGGTTGTTTGAATCGGGTCGCGGCGCCGTAGGTTCTCGACGGCCAGACGATCTAGAGTCTGCAATCATGGCTCGTCGCCCGGGATCCATTGCTCCGAGGCTATAAAGGCTGATGGCGCTGATGGCGCAGATTTCGAGGGCGCGCGCGCGAAGTTGTCGGAGAGGAAGACGGCAGAGCCACGGGTGAGGTTGAAGATTGCTACGTATCCCACTTGTTGTTAGACGGTCGATATTTACTCCCGATAAGCTTTTTTAGTTCGGTCCGCTAAGAACGATCACGGCAGGCGCCTTCTTGTTGGTCTTTCCGTCAGTACCTAGCGTCATGTGACGCTTGCCGCGCTCACTTACCCTAGATGAGAAGAGGCAGGTGAAAAAGGGGGCCTTTAGATAGGGCCTCAGGATAAGCATAGACAGTAAAAAAAAAAATAACTTAGTAGAGATGAAAATAATGTTTTTTACAGACAGCTCTCACAAAAAATGGATATCTGTCTCGTTGACATGTGGGACAGAGATGCACTACGTGGGGCTCTGCGGGAAGGATTCAGGGGTGCAGTTTTATACTTGGCGTAGTGCCAACAGATAGCTAACTCGTATTCATCGTATACATTGATAATAAAAACCATTCAAGTGTGAAATTGAAAGATGAGTGAAATATAATTCAAGCAGTACTCCAATTGACGCAATATCTAAATTCCCATGACGACAACGCCTCATTTCGCCCAAGGGTATCGTATCGTAAATCACTCTCTTCCAGCCCCTCTCTCTTGACAAGTGCAATTAAATCGCTTCCCTTGGCCAGGATATCATACACGGTGTTGGAACAGTTATGTTGTGCAATGTATTTACCAGCTTGTGATTTCTCACCAGCTCTGTTTCGATTGCGTGCCCTCCATTCCCAAGCCCCGAATGCTCTGGTTCCAGTCATGCCAATTGAAGTTGGCTCCCAGCATGTCTGCATCTTCCATTTCAAACTTTGCATTTGATGTCGCAAAGTTTTCGGGCCAAAGATATGGTGGAACGTGTGGGTCGTCTTTTGGCTGTTGGCTCGGTAGCATCATTGCTTCTTGCCCGACCATATTACCCTGAACATGCTGTCTTTCTGGCATGGTCACGGTGGCTTGCCCGTTGTGCATAGCCACCATCCCCACATTCCAAAGTTCCGCCATGGGGACGTTGGATTGAGCCATAAAAGTGTCCATGTATTCCATGGTATCGTCGGTCATATTCATAGGCATTTGGCTTACAGCGTTGCTTTGTGAAAAGTGCGGCCCAGAAGCACCAGTTACTGGCGTCTGATGTAACGACGGCTTAGAGTCTTCGGGTATGAACGAAGTCATTGATGTTTGCGCATGTTGCGGGTTGGATGTTGATGAGGACGGCGTGGAGCCCTCTAATTGAACCATTGCTCTCCATGTCTCTCTGACTTGTTGCTGCCTGGCTTCTAAGCCTGGAACTGGGTCGAACCGCGCCCGAGGCGGATTTACTCTTTCTGCGAGGTCCAGGCGCCTGGCTTCTTCGGGGTCAGCCCTCAGTCGAGCCACCTCTGACTCCTGATATCTCCTTGCTCTGATGAATAGTTTACGTAAAGGAAGGAAGACGACGGCATGGTCAGCTCTCTTGGCGTTTTCAGCCAAATCTTTATCGTAGCCATTGACCGCCTCCCAGCCACGCTGGACAAGTGGTGTCCAAGGACGACGGCATGTCTCGACGAGTATATACGCAATCGCAGACCAGTTCGTATATGTCCTAAACAACCATCGAAACTGTTTGCATCTAGGATCGGTGTTGAGTTTATAATTATATTCGATGATTTCGATGGCGGCAATGTAGATCCGCTCGCGGATTTCTGCTGTGAGCTCGTGATCAGAGCCGGGGAAAAGCATCGGCTGATATATTATGAGGCACATCTTGGACATGATAATGCGCGATATCATAGCCGCAACCCAATACAGAATGTCGACTTCCTCTCTTAGATGCCGAAGGAATTTGTCTTCGATGTTCTGATAGAGCTCGACTAACATCCGCTCTTTCTCCGCAACTGTATCGGTTTCAATTCTAGCACCAGACGTATTCTCGCCAGACGCGTCGCGTATGCGCCTCGACATGGCGCAGACTTCGAATCTCACCAAGGAGATTGCAGTTTCTGATTTTCCTTCTCTTGCTGGGGGGATTGTTGTGCTCGCAGGCGAGAAGTCGGCATCATTAAGGCTAGTAGGGAACTGGGTATCAAAATCTCCATCAGCCACCAGCAAGTCGGTGCCCATTTCCTCGGAAGCTCGGAAGTCCAAAGTCAAAATAGCCCACCAAACACGTCGTCTCTGCTCTGTCTCAAAGGGAGAGAGTCCAAAGTTTGTTCCATCACGATGTATGCCCAGACCCTGCGCAATCCGAACTAGGAGAGCGGTCATGGACCAAGTAAATCGGCTTTCGTCGTATCGTCTGACGACTAGGAGGAATAAAGTGAGTGCTTGGACGACTGCAAGTTCCGATGTGTTTAGAAAATTTGCTTTAGCAAGGGACTGTTCTGTAGCATAGCGATATCGCGCAAGCATTTCCTCTTTGGTAACGGCGAAATTGGTTTGGATCTAAAGCAGCGTTAACTCAAAGCGATTCGTTATACGTTTAAAGATAGAATACAGTTGGGATACTCACCTCGCCTTCCTCAAGCGCTACAATTGCAGCGTAATAAACAGCGAAAACTAATGATTCATGCCCAGGGGCAAGTTTTTCGGGGGCTTTTCGGATATCGCGTAATAGGGCATCCATGGTTGGGACGTGGATGATTTTCAGTAGAGGATCAACAGTTTCCTGATAGACTGACCACAAAAACGTGGCGTGAGAGGCTACAGGATGAAAATTCCTTAGATTGGCATCGAGAGATTGATGTCCTAGAATGAAGCTTTGGTGATTACTCTGATGATTATATGAGGAACTTGCAGCGGTGGCTGGTGAATCGATGGGCGGCGATTCCTCAAACTCAGAGTCGTCGGCATCCTCGTCGGTAAGCTTCTGTGTTTCTTCGCGAATTGCATCCAGCTACACATGATTTAGTTTAGTTTAGTTTAGTTTAGAGCCCAATTTGATATTTGCTTGTAGCACCTGAACCACGGGCCAAATGAATGGGGGACCATACCTCATCGTTCAATTTGGACCAGAATCCACTGCTAACATAGCGAGCACTGCCTTTGCTATCGCTCAAAACCAGTCGTCCGAGCTGCTTCCGGCTCTCTCTCATCTTACGAGACTCGGGGACCTCGCCAGTGGCATGGTTGTCGCCAAAATCAACAACCCCCGACGCAGATGCGCCCAAGCTGCTGGATTTCGGTCGCTGAGCCGTGGGCGAGCCTTCGTTGGAGGGCGAGTTCGCGGTAGATGAAACCCTGCCGCCAGTCTCAACCTCGATCTGGCCACTCAGTTCCTCCACGATGCCCTCCAGCTTCTTCAGCCGCTTGACCAGCTCAACCTCGCGCAGGCTCGTCGGTTTCGGAGGGGCATTCGGGTCCTTGGGCCGGTGCTGGCGCGGCGCTCGGCCGGGCGCGGGGAATGCACAGGGAATCAAGGCGCGCCGACAATTGGAGCAGGGCATCTGCTTGTCGCATCGCACCTTGCGCCTCCGGCAGGTGACGCAGGATCGCGGATTCAGCAGCGGTGATCCCGAGTCACCCGGGGCCAAGATGGGGCCAAAGTGGGCGTCTGGCCCGGTCGTCTGGTAGATGGTGACATTATTCGGATGATGCGGCGAAGAGGCACTATGTTCCGCCATATTGTGCTTCGGCGACGTCGCAGAGGCGCCGAAATCGAAATTTACCGCCATTTGCCCGTCTCTCACTCGTCGCCCGGGGTCGGTTCGCGTGTGTCGACGGCCTCACGACAAGCACCAGAAGAAGCGCACAAGACAAGAGGCTAATATGTCGCAGGGCTCAGTCTGAAGCCAAAGGAGCCGCCGGTCTGCTCATCCGCGGGGCGCACGTGAAGGGGGGGCCTGAATCGCATCAATGCTGCGGCGGCTCGGGCGTTGCAATGGATGCAGGCGCTTGACCAGGACGGCTCTGCGAAGCTCGATTGAGGTTGAAGGGAGAGAAACCGGCGAGTCGTCGAGCTCCGGGCGCAGGTGGGGAGAGAGAGACTCAGTGCACCAAAAGGCCCAGCGAAAGGTTCAAGCCACAGTGGGCTGGCGGTGGAGACGCGGTGGCCTGGCGACTATGTGCTAGTATTACGATGACATTGCCCAAATCGGGCTGCTGCTGAAACGTTATTTGCCATGGGCGTGTATTGCGGCAAAGCAGCCCTGGAGCGTCAGAGTTGCGGTTTCTTCATATCAACAGACTCCATATAATGGGCGCCGCCATTGGCATGCATAGCACAGAGAACTAGGAAGTCACTGAGATGGTGTTCCACCGGATAAACGCCTGGAGAGCCTGCTTCTCCACCACCAGATACCACATACGGGGACCGCACCGCCACATAAGCAGCTTGGATGGAGCTGGACTAACAATGACTAGGCAGGTGATAATGGCCTTTGGTCGGGAACAGTGTAGAGTCTTAAACAGATGAATGGCTACAGAAACTCCCTCTTTCCAAGGGTATTAAAATGCATTGAATTGCACTGCTTACTATCGTCTATTCTGCAACGCCATCTGGTACGAGCATCGTTTGGTGGGTGCAGACAGCCCCACAGCACGGAATTTGGGTTCTAGAATCCGAGACATGTGAACCACGGCACGCCCATGGTCTGTACTCCTAGGCGGTCTCAATTTGTCATCAGCTCTCGCTAGCAACACACTATGTAGCTGACGGCGGAGGGAATAGGATCCCTCAATGGCGTAGCATTTGTATGCTATCTTGCGACACAGCCTGGGCTTCCCATCACATCTCATCATTTGCAAGCCAATGAGCAGCTGTGCAAGAGACATTCTTGACCGGGATCGTGTTTCTGGGATTGAATTCCTGACCTACACGAATTTCCTATTTGGTGGCGGCTCCTGGCGTATATATACCTCCATATGGACTTTGCACTTTACTGAATGCACATACATAGACAGAGAGGCAGGGATTTAAACCTTCCCAAGTGCCTCTTTATTTCCGAATGGCTTTCAGCTCAAGGACTGTAGGACGAGTTTCGATGAGACGGCGTTCGGCGCCGGCCCCCACCTTTTACCGCTTCCGTGATTTAACTTCTACGCCAAGAGCACGTCACCTCGATCCAGGTGTGCATTTCATCTTATCAGAATCGAACAACTCACAAAGCTTTGTAATTAACCGTCTGACGTCGATGAAGATGAGCGTTTGATGAAGTTGTGGGAAAATCCATTCCCAAGACGTGGTTTTAACCGCGCTGATATCGCCGTCAGGGAGTAAAAGTTGCTTGTTGAGGCGAATTCAACATCCGCTGATTTTATCTTTTGTGGTGGCTGAAGAAGTCTTTGAGAGGATTCGCTATTGAACTTTCATGACTCCTCTTTCTGGGCACCAATTCGGGCGACTACGTGCTTTACGAATAATGCCCAATGTCGACAGAGTGCGTCTTCGCTAAATATATATATGGAGGCTTACAGAGTAGGTATTAGGATTTCGATGCCACCCTTTCGCCTGGCTTCTGAGCCCGAGGTGCTGGGAACCAGGCCATCGAATCGTTCATAAGAGCTCGATCCACTCTGCGCCACTAGAATCACCCCGCACGTGGTGGGGGATGGCGAATCAGGCAAAGACCCAGAAGCATCGTAGCTCAAGTTTGCGGCAAAGTTGCACAGCTGCAGAATCATACAGCGCTAGCATGGCAACAATAGCATCATTATAGCAGCCAACAAGTTCTGAGACCGGGAAAAGAACAGCTTGGCCTAATTGCATCCAAAAGACACCCATTCGGCCCGTTAGCCAGATCTTGGCGCAGAGACCGCAAACAATGTTGGTTCCCATCTTCCAGCAACACTGAGCGTATATAAAAGAATAGAATCGATGTCCTTTCAACAGGCGCTAGGTGAAACATGGCCGCCATCATGTCCTGATAAGATTTGCAGCTTATACCCACAAGATTGGCTTCCACACTGCCCTCGATAAAGAACGGGCTTAAGCGAAGTAATGCATGCGTGCTGCGCTGCATTTCGCAAGCCCGGGGACATATGGGCGCTTACCGCGCGCCGTGCAGGTATGGCTGCATCATTCATCTCACCGGTCGGGTGCAGATTCTTCGTGCATCCAATTGTGCCTACTATGCAAAATCATCGTGACGGATAGAGGATGGGCTTCATGCCAGTATATGAAGATTCGAGAGGCCGGATACGTCCAAGCGTACTGACCGAGATGACCTCATTCAATGCACACCATATGCAGATACCCAGCATCGACAGCAATCGTGCAGACCAAGTCGTCTCACTCATTGGCCGTAAAGATGGTTGATACACACATTACAAACGTTCCATCTTGACCGACTTGAATTGAGCGTGGCCACGTGCCTTGGTCAAGTTGGAAGGTCAGAGAATAGTAAGTCGTGGTGCTTGAACAGAGCCGCATGAGGAGATGTGGTGCAGTATCATTGGCGACAATGCTGGCCACCATGTCTTGATGATTTGAGCCTGAAGAAGCGAGCGATAGTTGGGGTAGCAATTGAGATGCGTGTCTCACTTGGATATATGGGCCATCCGCCGGAAGAAGGGAGATTTAAGAAGATGATGCTGCCCCGGCGTGAGAGCCATCTTCGTGATATATGTTCCAAACGCAAACTTCCACTAGCTCATCCTTAAAAAGATTATACTCTATCGTAATAATCCTTCAAATATGTCTAAGGAGACACCAAAGTATCCGTAAGTATGTCACACCTTGAGCTGATCTCTTGTTGATGTGCCAGCAGTCCTGCCGTGGAATCATACATGGGAGATAACGATGGCGATCTCCCATACAGGTTGACGGTGATCAGCAACAATGACAATAACGACAGCAACAACAACAACGTCGAGGGCACCCAAGGAGGCACGAGTACTGGAATGGGGAAGCAAGAGACCAACGCAGTGGCTGCAGACAATTCGCCCATCTCAGATACTGGGACCTGGGAAATTATCAACCCTGGGGATGGGAATTAGACGCCATCCGTTAGACGCCATCCATCAGATTCAATGAGGCGTGTTGCTCAGAGCCGATGGTAAACCGGTTGGATACCAGAACCGCTTATTTTAACCGACACTTGTTTTTTTCCTGCAAATGTTGAAAGAAGGACATTGGCCTTGTATCCTCTTTTCCAAAGTTGTGTAGTTTCGCACATGTTAGTTAGGCGCCGGTTGATCTGCAACTGGGAATTGTCATTGTGTGTACCATACTCGCATATGAATGCAAGTGATCTATATCATGTCGCATTAGCATCATCAATTGGCACAATCAGCAGCCACCACATGTCAAACAACACAGCATCGTCATCGTCTACCTTACCCAATCGTCGAGCGTGGGATAATAGCCTGAAGAGCAGAAAAAGGAGTGGGGCTTCAAGTTTCTGCAAAGCTCCATCATTGGCGTAAAAAAGAGCGGATCTATCGCCGCGACCCTAGTAGGTACGTACTTCCGCTACAAATGGCGGATAAGTCACGTGCGGAGAGCCACAACTTGTTTTAGGGCTTCTAAGACCTAGGTACTGAGTGAAGGAAAATTTCCAAACGCAGCTTGACGACGGCAATTCGCGACTCCACGTTTCTCACGACTTCAACGCCCCCAAACCCTCCGATACAATGGCCAAGCAATCGTAAGTCGATCTTAACGTGCAGCAGGATATTCCTCCTTCTCTCTCTTTATTTCGCAATTTCCCCGACGAGATCAACACAATTACTGGAAAAGAAGCCGGGCAAGAGGAGGATTTTGTGGATGGATTTGTCCGTCACGATGAGACAATCTGAACGAGTTTTTGGGATCTACTCTACGCACCGACGAGTGAAATTTCTCGCCAATTTTTCAACGAATCGAGCCTGCGTCAAAACGTCAAAACGCAGTTACAAATCGGATCCGATTGAGAGAGCAACAGTTAGGCCTTTGCTTCTACCGGCATCAGTCTTTCGATGATCCCCTAGTCGAGGAATTGCGAAATAAGAGAGGAGAACCGAGAAAACTGCACACGATCAGTCTGTCGAAGAGAACCCGTGGACTGACAACAATGTGTCATACAGCCGTGGTGCCCCTGGTGGCAAGCTCAAGATGACCCTGGGTCTTCCCGTGGGTGCCGTCATGAACTGCGCCGACAACTCAGGTGCTCGTAACCTGTACATCATCTCCGTCAAGGGTATCGGTGCTCGTCTGAACCGTCTCCCCGCCGGTGGTGTCGGTGACATGGTCATGGCCACCGTCAAGAAGGGAAAGCCTGAGCTGCGAAAGAAGGTCCACCCCGCTGTCATCGTCCGACAGGCCAAGCCCTGGAAGCGATTCGACGGTGTCTTCCTGTACTTCGAGGACAACGCTGGTGTCGTACGTGTACCCTGAAATATGCGTTTCGAATGGTGGTCTTTTGTTTCACTTTGAGGCTGAGAGCGCCATTCAAATCTATTCGCCAAATCGATGTTGTGACATGGGCTAATCCAATTTTGCAGATCGTCAACCCCAAGGGTGAGATGAAGGGCTCTGCCATCACCGGCCCCGTCGGCAAGGAGGCTGCTGAGCTGTGGCCCGTAAGTGCTACCTACAATATGTTTTTTTTCTCGAGAATCCGCATATCCTAACATTTCTTCTCCAGCGTATTGCCAGCAACTCCGGTGTCGTCATGTAAGAGGTTGTTACGAAGGAGGGAGATTTTACTTTATACAGTGGAGACAGAGGAGGAAGACAAAAAAAGACATAAATGAACAAGTCCCCCCCGCCGATGCGATCTTATAGAAGCGTGGAAATATTTTTTTTTCTGCCTCTTATTTCCCCACCCTTCCGGAGTTCTTCTTTTTTTATTTTTGACTCGGGGGGAAAGAATGGGAGGGGAGGAAACGGGAAAGTAAAGTCGCTGGATTGGCAGGCTCTTGCATTTCGGTTGCGGCGTGTAAGGATGATTCAATATCAGGTATCGCATCAAACGGACAAAGAAAAAAATATCCAAGTCCTACGTTCTCATCAAACAGTGCCGGGTGAAACGACTTTTCATGATGCCTTTTTGCTTTAACACTGGAACGCAATCATCGGCTCTTGCAGCTGACCAATGTGACACCTAAAGATGGCTACCAGACCACGTTTTTTCTAAATTACTTAGACTGTAACAGTCCACACATTCTTGGTTCTCATCCTGCTCGTAACTAAATCTGAGACACTTCTAATTTACTGGCTTGCTAAAAGATAGCGCAACCTTTTTGAATTCTAGTACCAATATTATCTAAGTATCACCAATATTAAAATAAAATTTAAGACACTATAAAGGACCCACAAATTAGTTGGCTCGCCTCGCCCATCTAGGAAGTCCTCAGGGTCAGCATACGGACTACTAGCACTGATAGATTTCGCCGGTTGATTACCCTGTATGAATATTCAAGCGAAGATATTCGCGATAAAAGCCTGTTCAATCTGTCTATGCATGCTATTGTGAAAGACCAAATTTGAGGTGAGCGTCTACAATTATAAAACTGGATGTTCTGCATTCTTGCAATTACTCTTTTGTAATGCAAGTGAACGGTTTATACGTTATGGATATTTCGCCGTGACAAGCATCACTCCATTATTACATCATCCGCCAGGGATCAAAAACACAGTCAAGCCAACTACAGCACAGAAAGTTTCTTTCAACAGTCGAAGAAGTGTTTTATTGAAACCAAGAGAAATAGCTACATCCACCAGCATGCCTTTGAAAAAAACAAGAAGCATCGTCCAGCCCCACCACCGTGTATCCGTGTTCTTGCTCAAGAACAAGCTGTGTGTGGTCCTCTCTTATATACTTGGTGTAGACGAGGAAAAAAACAGAAACAAGCAGGGAAATGATAACAGACAAGAAAAAAAAGTTTGGAGAGAAGAAAAGAAAAGTAGTATTTCCCTCTGTATAAAATCCACCATTCTTGGGGGGAAGCCGCCAACGCCGAGGGCTGACCAGTCAGCTGTATGCTTTTTTTCTGTAAAGCCAGTCCCAATGCTGAAAAAGGAAAAAAAAACAGAAAGAAAAAGAAAAAGACAACGACAAGAAACAGAGAAACGAAAAAGAGGTAGTCATATACAAATGTCCAAACGCAGCGTTTCCCAGTTCTTCAAAAGCTCCTCCCACAATTATAGCGTCCCCTTCTCTTCCTCCCTCCTCCCCCCCCTCCCCTGAATGATTAATAAAAATTTTCTTTTTCAAGTATGTATTTACTCTTTTTGGTGTGTGCAAGTTGCATTTGCCAAATCTGTTGGCAAAGTCTGTTGGCAATACACAAACACGGTTCGACGCCCAGGTATGATACATGAATCGCTAGTGGCGGGTTGAGATAAAAAAAGGCTAATCCCCGCGGTGAAGAAAAAGGCGGTGGTATAAACATCGAACAAGCAAATATGATGCTGTAAGATAAGACCTGAGCTTTGCTTTTTTGGTTTTGGCTTCTTTAAGCCGAGTCATATGTTCGCCTCTCTTTGGCAAAATCGAAAACGACATCAAACTATGATGGAGGATACGGGTATCCCATTCCGTGCAGGTGCTGTGGTGGTTGTTGAGGGGCAAAGGGCGGCGGCATCTGATTGTGCTCAACCGGCTCCTTCTTGGCCGTCTTCATCTTGGGCTTGGGGGCGATAAGCCCAACCCTCTGCTCGGCCGCGGCCTGCGCGGCCTTTTTCGCAGCGAGTGTCGCTTTTCGCTTCTCCACAGCACCAGCCATGTTGCCATTGGCCCAGCGACCTGAAATAGTTTGTTAGCGAGCTGAATGCGACAAAACATGCAGCGTGCTCCAACAGCGTGATACTTACTCTTCATCGACGCTGACATCTTCTCCGACTTGGTCATATTCTTGTAGTCCTTTGGTGCCTCCTCAGCTTCTTCACCGTTGGGCAGCGACGATGGTGTGCCCTTGCGGCTCGCGGGTGTAGTACGAACAACTTTGATCTTCTGAATCTTGCGATTGGGTCCTAGTGCCGCTTCTGGCTCGAGCATCTCCGGTAACATCGGAGGGAATTCTTCTACTCCGACCGAGGGAGCTACGTTGATGCGCTTGTTCCTCTTCTTTGTGGGAGCTTGAGAGGCTTCCTCGCTCTCTTCGGCGTCGTCGCGGAATCGCTTCTGTCGCTTGGGGCGGAACGAATACGACGACTCGGCAGTGTGCGAAGTGGAATCCGAGTCGGCTGTCGATGGCCGCGAATCGCCGTTGTCTGTAATCGCAGAAGACGGCTCACTGATGTTCTTACCCTTGGGGATCTTGAGAGTCAACAGATGGCGACGCTTGGGCGGCTCTTCTTCAACGAAGTGGTAGCCCAGTGGGTCCTCGTCGTACTTGGGGGCCTGCTTGACTCGCTTGTTACGGCCCGATCTTGATGGTGTTTCGCGCACAGAGGAATCTTCGCTTGGAGGAGCAGGCACGAGCTCTTCGACGATGCTGGGGACATTTGCCTTGGGCCGTGCTGCACGATTGCGTCTCTTCCTGCCGTCGCCACCCTCGTCCTCTGAGATGGCCTCGCTATTAAAACTGGCAGCAAATGAGACCTGACTTTCATCATTGTCGGCATTGGCAGTCCTACGCCGTCTGGGTCTGGTGGTTGGGACGGGTGTTGAGCTGCGACTAACATCCTGCGTTGCCGGATCGAACAATTGAACGGGCTTCCGTTGTCGCTTGCCGGTGACTTCGTCTGCCTCGGTCGCCTTGGCTGTAGGCTTTGGCTGATTGCGCAGGGAACGGCCCCTGGTCATGATTCCTGCCTGCTGTGTCTCTGGGTTCTGGCGGCCAATCTTGGATGGATGTGGGTCATACTCAAATCCATAAGCGGCTGCCATGATTCGATCCTGGTTTTGCAGGTAGCGTGTCTCAGTCATGCCCTCTCTGTCCTTGGACCTGTATCCCTTTACAACAAATTCAGGTTCTTCGTAGTTGACGCCATGCTGGTGGAAGTTGCGTGTTCGCGACTCATATTTGACATCTGCCACGCGCCGGCGAAGCGAATTTTCGTAGTCATCGACAATCTTGCCCAGTCCGTTCCACTCGGTTTGCCATTGAACAAGTGAAATGTTGATGGATTCCAAGACCTCGTAAAGATCCTCTGTTGACATATCCTCTAAATTCTCAAGGGCGGCGAGATATTCATTAGGATCTCTGAGCTTGCGATAGCGGAATGACCGACTGCGTTCGGGCGGCTCTTCAGTAACATCAACGTCGTCGCCGTCATCTCCACCGGCAGCCGGAGAATTAGAGGCAGTGGGGTCGATTGAATCGGGCATAGGAGAGCCCCGTAAGGGTGTGTTGAGAGCGGGCGTGGGTGCCTCGATCCCGGCAGCATCCGGAAGGTCGTCGTTGTCATCAATCATTGGCTCCATGTCATTGGCCTCTCGATCATCAGCCGTTTGGTCCTCGCTGGTAGTGACTTCATCCTCTGGCTGAGCTTTCCTTTCGGGATACGCGACATACTCTCCATCAATATATGGAGTTAGATGAGCCCACCGGCCTTCAGGTCGAGGCTGTGGCTTAAACGGGCCTCGCTCAGAGGGCTGGGATGGCGGCGCTTGATCTGCAGGCTTCATGACTGTGGCTTCAACCTGAACTTGGATCTCTGGTAATGGTGGGCTGACAGCAACGTCGGCACCGTCCTCGGGCCATGACACGCGTGGCTCGGTGCATGTGGTGTCAGTGCTCGTTGACTGGGATGCGTCCAATGTTGTGGAGCCGAGAGCAGATATTGATGGAGACGCCAGGGCGCCATTGGCTTCGTCTTTGGCTGGAGTGACTGTGATGGGAGGAGGGCTGGGTGCTTTGGAGTCTTGCTCCGGTGTCTGCTGCTTGGGTGCCTCTTCCGCCTGTACTTGAGTCTTAGGCTGCGGCACCGCTGGCGCAGTGAGTGTAATCAAGTGCGCTGCTGCCGAAGGATAATATGGCGGCTCTTGTGGTTGAGGCTGGGCCTGGGACTCTTGCTGAGACTGAGGCTGCGGCTGCGGCTGCGGAAGTGAGTCGCCTGCTGGTGGTGCCTCAGGGTTTTCCTGTGGAATTGCCTGTTCGGGAAGTAGGTTAAGAGGCTTAACACATGCAGTTTCTTCAGCGGGAGTGTCATTCTCAGCCGCGTGTGTCAAGGCCGTGTCATTGGCCTCTGCGGTCGCATGCATTGCCGGCGGCGGAGTGGAGGGCGTGGACGGCATCTGCACAGGCTGCACACCGGGCTCTCCCTCACGATCATTGTTGACGACGGCGCTGCCAGAGGTCTGCGGCGTGCTGCTGCGTGGAGACTTGAGCTCATCCGCGTAGCTTTCAGGTGGTGCCGCCATGTCGTCGCTAAAAGTGCGTGTGGCGTCGGCGTCGTGAATCTTGGGCTGTGGCTCAGCCGGGTTCCCATGAGTGGGTGAGGCTGGTGCGGCCGAATCGGGTAGACTCGCACGGTCAGACTGCTGCTGGGGCATGCTGGTGTCAGCGGCCGCAGAGGCAGAGGCAGGGCCAGTAGCAGAGGCAGCAGCAGAATTAGCAGCAGAATCAGCAGCAGAATCAGCAGCATTGGCAGTCGGATAAACAGGCTGCTTCAAACCCGGATTTGCTGTGGCCTGCGCTGCGGCATGGTCGGCAGACTTGAGGTCGCCGTCGTGGTGCTGAGAGCCTGAAAGGGCTGGTGTAGGTTTTTGTGGGGCATCAACGGACAGGTCCGTCGATGAAGCATTGGAGATGTCCATGTGAGCGCTGTCGGACTTTTCAGAGTCGGAATACAGCACGCCCACCTCGATGGTGTCCTGGACGTTGTTTTCGTCGTCGTCGTACTCGTCCCTGTAGGCTCTCGCCTCGGACGTCTTTCTGGCGGGATTGCGGCGCCGGCTGGACGGCGTGTCAGCATCAACAGAGGCGCCTCTCCTCTTGAGCCCAGAACTGTAGAGATCCTCAGAATCGTAGCTGTTGCTATCCGGCCTTCGTCTCCTATTACGAGTCGCAGGGGCAGAGGCAGATGCTGATGCTGGGCCTGAAATGGCGCTTGAAAAGTCAATGTCGTCGTCAATCTGCTCAAACGTGTAGTCAACACGCGCGCGTTTGCGCAGACTGTGACCGCCCTTTTTGGGGCTGTCGTTTTCATAATCTTCTTCGGCCATGTTGTAGTCATCCATGGTCTTTGACCTCTTTCTCAGATTCAAAGGCCGGGTGGTTGGTCCTGGCGTTGAGAAAGTGAAAGCGGGCTGAAGAGTCTTTTGGGCGCGCCGGTTTTGCTGTGCGGTTTGTGGAGTGTTAGTGGCATGCGCCATGATGGGACTGGCGGACGACTGGTTGCGCTCAAAAGAAGCGTCTGAACCAGACGCAGGAGACGAAGAAACTCCCTGAGGCTTGCGGCGGTTTGTTGTTGGGCGGCGAGCGCGGTCCATGATGCCAGGCCGCAGCCTGTGGTGGAAACGAGAAAGGTTCTTTAAAGGGGTGTAAGAGGACAACAGGCAGTGTAGATGAGATGGGGTCTGGAAAGTCAGGGCAATTCCGCAAAAGATGAGCGGAGAGTTTTATAGAAAAGAGAAAGTGCAGAAGAAGGAGATGCTGTGATGATGAAGGGGAGAGAGTGAAAAGGGCCCGTCAAAGTGTTGATGGAGATGCTTTGTATCAAGAGTGAGAGGCGAATGAAGCGTGACGTGCCGGCCGGAGCGAGCAGGTTTTTCCTCCCGCCAACAAAGTAACAATAGCAATCGACAATCAGCTGCGGCAAAAGACGCACATCAGGGACAATAGGCAGACAAAATAAGAGCCGCCGCCCGCTGCTGCGATGATGCCGCGGTGAGCTGGATATCAGAGATTTCTGAGGGCAGCCTTTTTCCACGCTGTCAGTGCTCTCCCAGGAGTCTTTTTCTCAGAACTGCCGTGGATCGAATAAGCCTGGCAGGCCATGCTGCGCTGTGACTGGCCAGCGCCGCCGGTACGTACCTCCCGCGCACTTCGAAGTAGCCAGCGCACCACCCACTACGGAAAGTATTCAGTACATGCACTGCTGCTAAAAAAAAAAAAAAAGCAAAGAGTCCCATCTCCGGGGTTTCCATCCAATCAGCACTTGTTCACAAACTGCCTTTTCCGGTCCAGGCGGAGCGCCCTCGCCCGCGTATCACAAACGCAAAGCTTGCTTTTTATCTACAAAGAATCTATATAGGGAAAAGATCCGGCAGGGAATAAACGCACAACACAGGCTGGGGACGCTGACTTGGAGACATGTTCAAGGGGCAGCGCCAGCATCGCTCCGTTTATACAAAGACCTGTTAGTAGGTACTGGGTACTTGCACCCTTTTTCCCGTTTGAATGATTGACATCATTCACGTGATTTTGAAGATGAGGATTGTTAGGTGCCTTGGGCGCCGATTAGCGTGCTTTTGCTCCCTCTACAAAGCCAAAAGCAGCACTAACACCACTCGTTTCTATTCTCTCTAGGTAGAGAGGCCGCCACAAAGGCCTCTGCAGCAAATAAGGCCTATGGCGCGCTAGCCCGCTGCAAGACCCGCTGAATCTGCTGTGACTTTGCGCGAATGTTCCCGCCAACGTAGATCCGCCGCTGTATCATTCCTCCACAGCGCCTTGTTTTGGTTCTTGTCCTTTTCCCTTCCACAAGCATCCGCCTCTGCCAGAAGCTGGATCTTGCTGTAAAACGTTATTGTGCATCTATTCCACTCTTTGTCAATCAAGTGTAAGCTTTCATCGAACTAGCCTGCAGTACAGACAAGTACCTTTTCCTGAACTTGTCTTGCTGACTGTTCAAAGTCTCTTGCTGTACTGCATACAAGTGTATCGTCACCACCTGCAACGACTTAGTACCCCACCGCTGCATACCACGCTATCACCCCCGTGCTCGTATCGGCCATAATCCTACCAAGCAAGGTAGCTCCAAGCAGCAAACACTGCGCATCCACCAAACATTTCGGTCTGGCAGCGGTGAATGAATCAACCCATCCAGCTGCATACGCGGCCATAGAATCCCATCTAGTCCGGATAGACAAACAATCCCTCGCATAACGCCATGGCCTCCAAGAAGTCAAAGGCGGCGCCCGCCGACGACAATCTCGACGAGCTCTTCTCGGGCATTGGCCACGACTCCAAGGCCAAGAAGCCGTCCAAGAAGCCCACCTCGGCCGCCGCCAAAGCAATTGGCAACGACGATATCCTCGCCGACCTCGAATCGGAGCTTGCTCCCCAGCCCGCGTCTCGCCCACACACACCCCGTCTTAAGGAGACGATTGCGCGACGCTCGACGGCAACCCCTCCTATTGGCGACGACAAGGCCTCTGCTGCGCGCAAGTCCACCGACAGCTCCCGGAGCCTCAGGGCCTCCTTCACCCCCAGCGCCACGAGCTCCGAGCTCCATGAATCGGAGAGGAGAGGACCGGTGGAACAGGCGCCGCCTCAGCAAGCCGGAGGAGGGTGGTGGGGTGGAATCCTGTCGACCGCGACCGGGGTCATGAAGCAGGCTGAGGCTGCGTATAGCCAGATTCAGCAGAATGAAGAGGCAAAGAAGTGGGCAGAGCAGGTCAAAGGCCTGGGAAGCGGTATTGATGTGAATGTGTTGAAGAGCTACGGTAAGTCAAGAGTTTTACCTATGCGCAGCACGAACACAGCGACTAAACCCTTTGACTACAGGCGATGAGATTCGCAACCGTGCACTTCCAACCCTATCCAACATTATCAACACCATTGCTCCCCCTATTGGCTCTCACGAGCGCCTCCTTATTCACATCACCCACGATCTGGTTGGATATCCGTCTCTCGATCCTCTCATCTACGAAGTCTTCTCCGATGTTATGCAGCAGGTCGAAGGCGGTGAGCTCCACGTTGTCCAGAGAGGTCATGAAAGCAGCCACCCGCGGTCTAGCGACAGCGCTGCCGGCTGGGACGACGGCCCTTGGTGGAGACAAGTTGATCAGCCTCGAGAGCTGGGCGTGGTGAAAGGCCTTGTCGAGGGCACAAAGCTTTGCCGCGTCAATGCAGAGTCGTTTGCGACTGAGTACTTTGCTTCACAGGGAGGCATCGAAGCTGTGAGGGCGGAGGCAAGATCGGGTGCCGGCGAGCCTGGTGCTATCCGAACCTCGGATTTATTCTTGTCTGTCCAAGCCATTGTTACTGACCAAGACAAGACCCTTTTCGGTCGAACTTCCGCCGAAGAAAAGGAGAAAGAAGAATCAGATGAGGTGGAAGAGGAGAAGGATGAAGAGTTCCGGTTTGCCATTTTCATTGTCGACCCGGTCCATGAAATCGAGTACGCCACCATCAGCCAGCCCTTCCCCGCCAAATGGGCCCGCTGGCTTGAGGCTCCTCGTCCTATGACCCCTGAATCTGGAGACGAAGAGTCCCTGCATAATCGTGTCCACGAGGACATCCGGAGCATTGTTGAGACCGGTGAGCTTGACCCTAGAGAATGGGTGGCCGGCTGGGTGAAGGACTCTCTTTCGCTGTCTGTTGGCATTGTAGCCCAGTGGTATGTCGCTAGACGTATGCAAGTTGGAGTCAACCACTCCCAAGTGAAAGTAGAGAAAGAGGATGATGACGATGAAGAAGAGGAAGAGGAAGAGTCTGATGAAGACACAGAGTAATGACACTATGGCATAAGCCATTGATAATGTTTTGGACAATACCATGAGATTAACCCATCGTGTATGAACTTGTGAGGAGACTGCACCCAAGGTAGGCCTCTTTACTTGCGTTCTTTTTCTTAGCTTTCCCATATATCGTTGTTACTCAGACACTCTTTGGGCATGTTGTAAAGATCTGCGTAAAGCAGACACTGTAGCGAAACACTACACGCATCGCATTGATTCTTAGGTAGTTTCTAGGTACTCTATAGCCTGCTTACCTGAAGAATGCACCCACATCTTCACCATGTCCCTTACCTCTGCTCTTCATCATCCTGTGCTACAGTCCCGGCATGGCCTTTCCAAGCTCACCCTTGGCCGCTCTCGTCGCGCCCTCCATCTTGACGAGCTTCAGCGGGCGATACTCTGGATTCCACATCTGCTCCTTGATCCACTCCTCGAGATCGTGGTCGTTGGACGGGATATCCTTTTCAGTCGCCATGCCTTCTTCCACTGCTGCCCGAATCACGCCTTTTGCTACCTGGACGCTGACGGTCCTTACTTCTTCCACGTCTGGCAAGAGAGGCGCAGTCGGGTCTTTGAGAACGGGGCTCAGTGATGCGACGCCTTCTACGGCCGCAACGAGCATGCGGTCGGTGAGAAGCTTGGCTCGACTGAGGATGCAGCCGAGGCCAATGCCAGGGAAGACGACGGAGTTGTTGCACTCGGCAACGTCAATCGTAATGTCCTTTCCGTCCTCGCCCCATGGACCGGTGACGGGGTCAAAGGGAGATCCCGTTGCGACGAGTGCCTTGCCATTCGTCCACTTGAGTAGGTCCTCTGGCTTGGCTTCGTGAAGTCGGGTTGGATTGGAAAGAGGGAATATGATGGGCCGCGATGAGTTTTCGTGCATGGCCTTGATGATTTCTTCGGTGAAGGCACCAGGCACGGTGGATGTTCCGACGAGAATGTTGGGCTTGACTTGCTTCACCACTGAAAGCAGGTCGTTGCCCTCGTCCTTCCACTCGGATGCATCTTTGGCGTATATTCTCTGGGCATCTGAGACCTCGTGCTTGGATGTCAACAAGCCGGGCTTATCAATCAGCCTAATGGCGTTGTTAGCAACGAGTCTCGCGGTGTATGAAAGTCAACTTGCCAAATATGCTGTGAAGCTTCCTCATGATCAATCTTCATTTCCGTAGCAATAGCATCACGAACTTGGTCTGCAATGCCAACTCCCGCACTCCCAGCGCCAAAGACGACCATGCGAATGTCACCGAGTTTCTGTCCGCTGGCATGCAGCGCGGCTATGATGGCTGCAAGTGTCACACAGCCGGTTCCCTGGACATCGTCATTGAAGCAGGCCATCGAGGGGCGATACAGCTCCAACAGACGTCTGGCTACATGTTTAAGAAAGCTTTAGTTTTCAGACGGGAACATACGTGAGCACGTAATGATGCTTACCGTTTCTCAAGCCAAAGTCCTCGAAATGGATGTAAGCTCGGGGAAATAGTTTCCGAGCAGCATCGACAAAGGTCTGGATGAAATCGTCATACTGCTTTCCTCTTACTCGGTGCTGACAGAGACCAAGATAGAGCTCGTCTTTGAGGAGTTCTTCATTGTCGGTGCCGCAGTCTATGACGACTGGGAGAGTGCGGCTGGGATGAACACCGGCGCATAGAGACGCAAGGGTCAGCTTTGCTCCTGATATGAGAATGCCACCTACGCCCTAGATGATAGAAGGCAGAAGAGGTCAATCAGTATAATTCTTCTGCTGTTTTTTTTTATAGAAGAAAGCTAAATGTACCTGGTCGCCAATCCCTAGAATTTCCTCGCCATCTTGGAAAATGAATGAGTATAAGGCCGAAAGACTATTCAAAGGGGATAACATAACAGCATACCTGTTACGCAGATATAGTCGACATCATCCGGAGTTCCCCAAAGTGCAAGGTCGCTTTCCACACGCTCGGGATGATTAATGTCCAGGAAACAACCTTCAGGTCGACGAAAAAGCCGCGAGTAGTTTTGAATCGCATCACCCTCAGTCGGAGTATATACCACGCTAAACATTTCTTTGAGATGATCGAGCAGTAACTTGAAGTACAACACCTCGTTTTGATCCTTGAGTGACGTTAAAAATGTATTCTTGGCAAGGTTGTCGCTTCTGGTCAGATATTGCTGGTATGCGCGCTTAGCCTGATGGTCCAGTGTCTGCTCATTCGCGGGGAGCAGTCCAGTGAGATTAAAGTCTCGACGCTCCGTTTGCGTAAAGGCAGATCCCTTATTGAACGTCGGGCTGTTTAGAAGTGCTGTTCCGGTAAGAGCGCAGTCGAGAGGGCCAACTGTGCTAAGCGGGAGGTTTCCAAACTTGGACGATTTGGCGGGAGCCATGGCGGATGAAGATGAAGAGCGGCTTGTATTGACAACTAAGCAGTAACGGGTGATGGGAAACGAGGTAGTGCGAAGAGGAATAAGACTTTTAGGAAAACTCCTAGGCAACGCTCTATGGGACAAGATCATAGGGAATAAGTATGTAGGAAGCGAGGAAGATGGTGATGTAAACAGAGTTGGCGTTGAGGCATATGCGTGTACTGTCAAGTTTTAGTTGACATGAGGGATTGGGCGATAAAGCATGCATAGAGCCAGTGACGTAACTGACAATTGTTCGCTAGAGGCGCGTATCGGGAAAGCGGCACATTCTGATAGTCCCCATACTTTATGCCCGGTCAGTATAACATGGCGGAAAACGCTGCTACATTAGATACAGTATAGCTTCATGCATCGAAGACAAATGAGCACACAGATAGAGAGTGGGATGGCAGATGATACAGACAGCATGAGTAGGTAGCTTGAATCATCTTGTTTCTTATTTTGTGTCATCAGATGGGCATCTAGTATCGTATCTAAGTCGCTATGGGAACAAAGGGAAGCCCTGGAGTAGGAGAATGTTGGTGCGCTGGGAGCCACGCCGTCGACTGATAGAAAATTCATTCGGCATGGACTATGATGGCCCGTTTGTCTTGCAGCAACGCTGAAGGCAAGAGTTATCAGAGATAACCTCGTCTACAATCGATACGCCAGCCCCTCCAGGCACAATCGCAAGACGCGGCGTGCCTGGAAGAGAAACTCGTGGGAAGACTGAGTGGCTGGCATGGATATGCTGCGGAACACAAGAAAGAACAAGAAAAGAAAAGAAAAAAATCCCTACCGTCGCATCGATTTGAGCTATTTTCAAGCTTGGTAGAGCTAAAAGCTTCAGGTTGACGAAAGATGAGTTGCGCGCTGCGCTGTAAAAATATTGTGCATGACACCGCCGAGGCGATGCGACACGAGAAATCATGGTCGAGAAAAGGAGAACTCAGATCTTGGGATGAAAATTCGCATTTTGATAGCAAGGCTTATCGATTTGCTGGCTAAAATTCTGGGTAGACTGTGAAACCCCGCTACTACCTAAGGTAATAAGCTGCTGACACATCTCCCGTCATTCCAAGCTCGACATCGTCGTCGATTACCCACCAGGTACCCAATACCTAGTATCACTAGCCTTTGACCGTTCTGGTCCTTATCCCCCAAGTGGCCGAGCTAAGCTCTGGGGAATTAAAGTGTACGTGAAACCAATCCGTCATTGAATAAGGCACCTAGTAGTTCAATTGAGAGACCACTACCAAGGTAGATTCTTGCAAGCGGCCCATCTCAACTGCGGACACTATTGAAGCGGAGTTGAACCCTGGTCTGATCTAGCACTTTCAGGTTGTGTCTGACGAGGCCCAGGCAAAAATCAGCGATGGACAAGCTTGCGGTCCACGGCAAGCAACAAGCAGCGATGGCAGACTCAATGTCAAGTCAGCACCGGAGTTTCTTAGGCTACTACTAGTAGGTATCAGCCATGCCAGCCTAGTACTTGGCAATATTGGTGGCCTCCAGGGCCTTTGCAAGGCAAGTAGTCGAAGAAAAACGCGCTACACACCCAGATCCTAGCAAAATATCAGATAATGCCTCTTTCAGCACAGTGAAAGCCAAAATAAAAGGAAAAAAAAAAAAGCTTTTCTATTCGAAAACATTGCGAAATCTTGAGCGTTTAGTCTTTCATTTGATAGAGTTTGATCATTTGTGGTTTGTTCAAATAGTATCCGCCTCTACCTTCTCAGTGGCGGGGGATCATGGTGCTAACGTAACATGGCCATGTTTCGAGCTCGTTGCTACTCTGCTCGCATTATCGTGGGCTTTTGGCGGCAGTAGAGTTTCGCCTACGCGCCGAGCGTTATATAAAGCGCGCTTCCCTCTTGCGTTTTGATCTCTTCTCATCATCCTCAGCATCCAATGATCCAAAACGGTCTACCGTTTACAGCCATCCACCTCACTTATAACTCAACCTCAAACCTACATATATATCCTCGAAAGCTATTCAGTGTCTACTTAATCAGCATCATCGCCGTTATGATTGGTTAGCGGTCTTGACCAGAGAGTAGATACTAACCTGTCTCAAAGTCGCAAACAAACAATCAGTTCCTACTACCGACCTTTAAAAGGAGTTGCAATTATATTATCGGCCGGAGTATTTCTAGAATCTTGTTAACTAGATCAGAGAAGAGCAACGCCAAACTCAGGACTGCCCATATTCATTACCGGTCGCATATTGGATAATTGAACAACAACACTGCTACTGCTCGTGTGCTTATCACTTATTACCTGTGCCTGCTATCTCCTATACCTGGTGTTTGCACGCCTAACTCGCACAATTATTCCGTGATACCTATTACGAGGTAGCCTCATGAACAGCGACATGTTTTCCCTGCCTGAGGTAGCACGAATGCCAAATGACTCAAAGGTATCTAGTACGTCTTAGCACCTAATGTAAATGACTCTATGACTTTATGGACTTACTACATTGTTTTATGTTAGGAATCTTGTATGGCGAGTCTGCCTCTCGATCTCCATCAGAAGTTCATAGTACAAACAAAAAAACATCCATGGCCAACAATCTCGAAAAAGCAATTTCTCAGTCTCTGTTGAGAAGATAAGCGCCTCCAATTCCGCCTTTTCCCAGTCCGTAGTTACTACCGATATAAGGGCCACCTAGAGCTACCATATTCGACGTGCTCCGCCTAGTCACTGACAATAAAAATGACAGAAGCAATCTCCATGTGGGGGGGAAGTGCCTGGCGTGGTTCTTAAGGAAGTGAGTCGCGACGCCCAAGCCACATTTCGAATTAAATACAGGAAAAGCCATAACAGCCATCCTAATGTCTACGCCAAATCTTTCCTTCCCACAGAGTCGGCTAGCAGTCTAGTTGATTATTAAAAGGCTTTGGAGAACTCTAGCTACCTGGCTAATAATCTTGCTCACGAGCTTGGTCACATCTTGGGCTTCCGCCATGGGTTTGCCCTCAAGACAGAGGGGTCTTTGCCTTCTGTCGCTTCGGCAGCGAGAATCATCAATCTATAATGAATTATTTCGATCATCCGAGCAAAATCCAAGTCGGCAAACAAGACCGCGAAGAGATGGCAGCGTTGTACGCGTGTGGTCGGGCAGACTGATGTTACACCCCCGCTTAAGTACAGTTGCGAATCGGGAGCTCTTCATGGCAGCCAGGACGCGGATTTGCTCTATAAACTGCCGCTGAGGATTGGTGTGCGAGTTAATTATTTGCTTCCACTTCATAACATTTACAACAAGCAACGGTTCATCATATGTAGCAGGATGCACAGCACGGGAGTAAAATCTTAGTTACAGCGGTACTGAGCTGAAGATTTGTTTTCATTTTTTCCTCTCTTATTTCTAGAATAATAGGTGAGCGATAAAGAGATCTTATACTCAAGATGGTATAGCGATTATATGTCCTACTACAGTGTATCAGATCAGTCACTCAGTGGTTGTATCCCCATGTGCAGGGAGTTGGAGTTGCCTGCCAAAGTGTTTTCTTGGCCTTTTACTTTATTCTACACCTTAATCCACGAATGCTTTCTTTGTTCCCCACCTGCCAGTCTATTCGCCGGCACAGCGTCTTTCGCTTCGTTCCGATCCAACGTAGGAATTCATGCCACGCCACCATCATTGACGTTATGAGTGGGTCTAAAGCGCAAACTTGTAGTACTGCTAAATCGCGACAATCTAGGTTCTTGGTCTAGTCAAGCGGTCGACAGAAAACCAGGGAATGAGAAGATTTTAAACACCCACGCTAAAATTATACACATACAATCTCGAAAGGCTCTGTGTGGCAAAGATGTGCATGTTATCGTGGATTGCGTACATATTCATTTTGCGGTCCCTGTTTTTTTGTCGACCGCTTGCAAGTGCCCTTTCCGCTTTCGTATAAATGGTTAAGCATTAGCCGCTTCTCCTTCTACTTCGACTCCATCCCACCACCATTCCATTACGGCCAAGTAGGCGGCAATACCTTATGCATGCTGGGCCCATTCACCCACGGCGTCTGATTGGGGGGCGCCGATGCCCTTGTTGGGGTCTCCACCTCACCGCAGAGCGTTTGCTTGGTGATACCAAGGTAAAAGCTTCGAAGCTGACCTGGCCAGTAAAGCTTTCTCGCTATATAAGTAAGAAGAATGTCCATCTCAGATTCTCCCAGTGATAGTACCTCTCTGAAAATATTTAAAAGCAAGGTAGTGTTCGATGTATCCTGCATGTGTGCTACAGTATGCCTTCGTCTTTATCATACTGTTTGTGGCTTATATCGATAAATTGTATGCTAACGAAATTTTGTGTATTAGCTAACCCGCAAGATAATCCAGCTCAATGGCCACATATGGAATCTCATACCAGAATGGCGGGACTAGTGAGATTATGAGAATCAATAGCTGTCCGCTACTATTTTCTTTCAGAGACAGTGACTCGCCTTCTGATGATAATAGCGAAACCGACAGCCGAACTCCCGAATATAGTGACATCTCGTCTGATACGACTTGCATCTCAAATGCTCATGTTGAAGTTGCAAACCCCAATGGCACCTACGATGAGGAATATTCAATTACTTCCACGTCTGTGTATGATGACCCTTGTTTGATCTTCACAAACAATTGTCCTCCCTGCCTGCCTGGGTCAGAGCAATATAATGCTGGTCAGATCGAAAATCTCCTATTAGGGCCTAGACTGGGAATTAATGCCTTAGCTGAGTTCTCTCCTCAGATTTCAGAGACCTGTTGTGTCTCAGCCAATGTAGCCAATGGCTATAATCTGTGCATTACCGAAGATGACGCAGAGAGAGACGTACGCGTTGGACGAGGGGGCTATGCAACTCGTTGGAAGAAAGGTTCGGTGCTGAGGTACACCGTTTGCACAGAGACTTTCCCCAGCCCTCAATGGGCAGCGCGGACGGCGCGTGAAGCGGCAAAGGCAGCTTTGATGTGGCAAAATATCGGCGCTCGCTTTGAGAAAGTGAGCCGCGATGAAAAAGCCACATTTGCAATAAAGTACTGCTTTGAGCCAGACGATTGCAGGCCCGATGTCTATGCTAGGGCTTTCTTCCCGAAGACCTCGCCGGACGAACTGTTTGTGTACCAGTTTGCACTGGAGCCCTACAATGTCGACTTCTTGGCCAACATTCTCGCTCATGAGTTTGGTCATATTCTGGGCCTTCGCCACGAATTTGCTGTGGAAACTTCCTTTCTCTTGGGAGACAAAAATAATCGATCCATAATGAATTATTTCAGACACCCAAGCGAGCTTCAGGTTGGAGAACAGGATCGAGAAGATTTGGCGCGGTATTATGAATGTGACGGAAGACATTTCAAGGGGTTGTCCATAAGAGATATCAAGCCACAGTTATACCGATTTCCTAGGAGCAACAGACGCAATGTCAGCTCTGGTCGACTGACATCCAAACGACTTTATTTGAACTATCAGACCAGGCGCGCTCGTCGCCGCCGCAGCCTGTCAAAACGTCGAAATAACTAACGGACATAACTAGCGACTTTTGTTATTTCTTTTCATCCGCTCGTCTTGTGGCTTGGTATTGTTCACTCTTTAGTATACTGAGCTTTCTCGGTGGACGATGGTGGGCGTGAGGAATAAGTTATAGGAATTTTTTTTTTTCTTTTTTGATCTTTTTGATCTTTCTGGGGTATTAGCGTCTAGGGCCGTTCTTTATATTGGGGGTTTTCCCCTAAATGATAGATGATAACTAAAGATTTCAGCAGTTTTCACGATCATAGATTTTAGAAATACTGAAATCTTGAAGAGATTTGCCATTTGAGAGCCACGCGGGTTATCTTTCATGATGCAACTAGAAGCATATATTATTATTATAGATTTAATGATTGTACATACGTGTAGTAATTGCGTCACGTTCACCGGGTTCTGTGCAGACAAGGGCGAAAATTGGATGAGTATGCTATATGCACTGTCGATTACAACTTGCTCAATCTTGACGCTCCATCTATGCGAATGACGGCGCCGTTGAACATGGGGTTCTCAATGATGTGCTTGACCTGCAGGTAGTCTTAGTCTCTGATACGTTTCGTGAAAGCATATGCGCAAGTTTTGGGAGGGATACTCACTAAAAAGGAGAATTCTGGCGGATTGCCCGCTCGATTGGGAAATATGAACGAAGCTTCAAGACTTTTGCGCACCCTATCGCTCATCATAGCCGTCAAGGCAGTTGTAAACAAGCTGGGAGCAATTGCGACGACGCGAATGCCATATTTAGCCAAATCTCGGGACATGGGCAATGCCATTGACGCGACGGCGCCCTTGCTGGCCGCGTAGCTGACTTGGCCGTGCTGGCCATCGAAAGCACTTGAACTGCTGACCATGATGACAACGCCGCGCTCACCGTCTGGCCCTTCGGGGTCGACCTTTGCGAGATGCTCCACGGATTGGCGGATGAGGTCGATGGTGCCTCTAAGATTGACGCCCAGAACGAGGTCAACTGAATCCATATCGAAGGCTTTGCCGTTTCGATCAAGAGTCTGAATACTGGTTAGCAGAGGGCCATCGCTCGAGTCAGTTCACTTACGGCTGCTGGGAGGCCAATGCCAGCCGCTGGAACCACACCGCCGAGCGGCTTTCCAGTCTCCTTGATCCAATCGACCGTGCCCCGAACAGCCTTTGCGATGCTCTCAGTCTTAATCACATTGCAATGGAAGAACTTGGCCGAGGGGCCAAGCTCCTTTTCCAGAGCTTGTCCGGTCTCTTCATCGGACAAGTCGAGGACCGCGACGTAGCCGCCGGCTTTGATGATTTCAAGGGCGGTGCTTTTGCCCAGGCCTGACGCGCCGCCCGAGATGATGAATGTGCGATTTTGGATCTTCATGATTTGGATTGATGGCAGGATTGCTTTGTTTTATAGTTCGAAGCGAAGCATTTCTCATGTGAGAACAAGAACATGGTGAACGCCAAGTTATAAAAGCCGGGGCGGTTATACTGAGCTTACTTGCGCCCGCCGTGCCGAGGCTCAAAAGCTCCCAGCGTTCTTGTATGGGTAGGTAAGCATGGGCTGCTGAGGCGCTGGGGCACATAGCTCTGGCGATCATGCACACATGTAAACCCCCATTCGTATCAGCATCAGCATATCTAGTTATGTTTTATATATTGGACTCTCAATTACAGAACACAGTGGACATTCAGGATATAAAGCAAAGTGGCCTGACCGCTTTCTGCCCACTTGGAGAGATATCGACATGAGCCACATGACGGTTCGTGTGGATTCAGTCCCGCCATCTCGTTCATGCCCAAGCCCGTCTCGAGAGCTAGAGAGCAAGCAACAGTGCTCGTGCAATGCTTACTAACGCCCGCGATTGGGCTGCGAGCATCACTGCGCCGTGCAGAGATACAGAGGGGCGCGCTAAAAGCTGGTTGCAGTGACACGATCCCTGCGACACCACCCATCGATTCGCTCGTTCCATATCTTTGTAGCGACCAACCTCTTTCTCATCGAATTTTCTCAACTTTTGCAGAGCTTCGAAGACGATCGGTTTAATCAGAATCTGGCTTCTGTATCACCAGCGACGATACTTTCTTCTCCATTTCTAGCGCAACTACGCCGGACGAGCTTTGCGATCACCGATGATGAGGCCAAGGCGGTCGTCCGGGGCGAGCGAGTCCAGCGCCGGAACAGCTCGCCCCGAGCAGGTGAGATAGCTCAAGCGAAGGCGACTGTGGTGGGATCTTTGGATACAAGATATGCTGAGACGATGATATAATAGGAGCTCGGAAGCATGTACGACTACCTGGCCAAGATTATACTGCTGGGACCGAGCGGCTCAGGAAAGTAAGTGACGCTGCAGAGCAACGAGCATTTGGAGGACCTATCTGCTGTCGTGGGAAGATGAAACGATGGCTAACCGAATCTCTTTTCTCCAACAGGTCATGTTTGCTCCACCGATTTGTAAAGAATGAATGGAGGATGTTGTCGTCGCAAACGATCGGAGTCGAGTTTGCAACAAAAATAATAAAGGTTGGGAGCGGGGCGCGACGAAAGCGGATAAAACTGCAGGTATTTCAGCCAGCCCCTCGCTTGGCCCTGACAAGATCCAAGATCTTATGTGCTAATATATGATTTGCCTGATATAGTTATGGGATACGGCCGGAACCGAGCGTTTTCGATCCGTCTCGAGATCGTACTATCGCGGAGCGGCGGGCGCAATTCTTGTATACGACATCGCATCACATCTATCTTTCCGAGGGCTACAGCCGTTCCTTAACGATGCGAGAGCGCTGGCGTCGCCTCATCTAAGCGTCATGCTGGTGGGAAATAAGCTGGATTTGGCTTCAGAGAACCTTATTGATACAAGTTTGCCTCCAGCTACTCCCAGCAGCGTGAGCTCCACGGCGACGGGATTTAACGGCGGAACTCCCTCTTTATACAGAGATCACGCCGGCTCGATTGGAGCTGGCACGCAACAGAGAGCGACAGAGGCACCGGAGGGCCGTGAGATATCGTCTGCCGAGGCAAGTCGATGGGCTAGCACTGTGGGCATCCCGGTCGTCACAGAAGTCAGTGCACTGAACGGCGAAGGCGTTGACGAGGTCTTCAATCGGTTGGCCAGAATGATCTTGACGAAGATCGAGCTGGGTGAGATAGATCCGGACGATCCCATGAGCGGCATTCAGTACGGTGACGGTGGATGGAATACCAATAGCGATGGAGGCAGCATCAAGAGCTCCATCACCGGCGGCACGTTGGACGAAAGCTTGAGCGGCCCACGGAGACGCAGACGAGGGAAGAGCCGAGGCCAGAACTGGAATTTGAGAGAATGGGAAGATGTCTTTACGCTCAGCAGTCGCCGGAGGGGCAGAGGATGTTGTTAAGGGTCAGACAGCCACCATCTACGACTTTTTCCCCTTCATTTTCTTTTTGCACACACACTCACTCACATATCACACGCACACTCTCTCTTGTCTTTTGAGAGCTTAGCCATGTTTATATCCATATGCGCGCACAAAATTCGGGAGGAAATTGTGGAAAATAATATGCATAATCAGCTCTTTGCGTTTTGTCAATCCAGAAATGAGCTTTACATCAATGACAGCAGGCAATGTTGGCGTTTGGGAACGGTATAGAAGCTTGAATTGTGCCATAATCTTTGTCTTGGCAGAAACATTTCCCTTTTCTCTCTTTCTGTCTCCACAATTCCCCTTTACTAATTCGCAATCATCTTCAAAAATATTATTCTTGGTTCTATCTGAAAGAGCATAGCCTCGTTGTTATCTCAGTGCACACGCATAGCGTATAGGCTTATAGGCTATTTCAAGCGTAATACGTGTATTCATGTATTCATGTATCGCCAAATGACGAATTGTTTTGCGTCATTCCCGTCTCTAAAAAAGGTACAGCGCTGCTAATGTTTTTCATTGCCTGCAGCGTCAAGATGCGAACTGCTGCAGGTGCTGCATTTGCGATACCCCAAAAACCCCGCCTTGCCGCTTCAAGGCGCGGAGGTGCAGCTTCCGTCCTACAACCTCAACAACCTTTAAGCGTGTACTTTGCAAGTATAAGTATTGGCATTCAGTACACTTTTGAGCTTTATGTTTCTATTCTCTCATCAGATTTCTTTGAAAAGCTCTTGTTCTCATCTTTTTTTTCCTCCTTATAAGTCTGGTGGATAAGGAATCAAGCATCATCACCACCTAAACTTGGTGCCCAACAGAGCTCCCCGCAATGGCGCCCCGAAAGATCATCCCAATTGATGCTGGTTGGCAGTTCAGGAGGACAGATGTCGATGACTTTTCGTTTCTGCCCGTTGCCCAGTTCCCCACCAATATCCACCTTGACCTGCTGCATCACAACCTCATTCCTGATCCCTTCATTGGCAAAAATGAACTGGACGTGCAATGGGTAGGCGAGGTCAACGCTTGGCAGTATCGCACGTCATTCAAGGCTCCCAAGGTTGGGGCTCAAGAGAAAGCAATTCTTGCCTTTGACGGTCTGGATACGTTTGCCGAGGTGCTTCTCAATGATAAGAAGATTCTGGAAACAGACAACATGTTCATACCCGAACGGGTGGATGTCACAGCACTTCTCAACGATACAGACAACCAACTGGTCATCACCTTTGACAGCGTAAATGTCAAAGGGTGGAAACGGGTGGAGCAGCATCCTCAGCACAAGTGGGGAGTCTGGAATGGAGACGCCTCCAGACTGGGCGTTCGAAAAGCCCAGTATCACTATGGCTGGGACTGGGGCCCGACACTATTGACGTGCGGCCCCTGGAAGCCCATCAGTCTTGAGATATATGAATCACGCCTCGCTGACTTATACTCAAATGTCACTGTTGATGAATCTCTTGCTAGTGCCAAGGTTGTGCTCCATGCAGCAACTGAAGGAAAGGCATCAAAAGTGCGGTTTGACATCTCTCTTGGTCAAACTACCCTCAGCGAAACTGTGGACGTTACAAAAGGAGAAGCAGTAGCGACCTTCAACATCAGTAATCCAGAGCTGTGGTACCCTCTCCGCTATGGTAAACAGCCGCTGTATACAATTACTGCTACGCTGCTTAACGGTAGTGATGAAGTGGACGCTTTGTCGAAGAGAATAGGCATCCGAAAAGTAGAGCTTGTTCAGAAGCCGCTTAAAGACCAACCAGGAACGTCATTCTTTTTCCAGGTCAACAATATCCCGGTATTCTGCGGTGGCAGCAACTGGATCCCCGCAGACAACTTCACTCCACGAATTACCAAGCAAAAATACCAGGACTGGGTTAAGCTTCTGGTTGAAGGGAACCAATCCATGCTGCGTATCTGGGGTGGTGGTGTTTATGAAGATGAGAATCTGCTTGATGCGTGTGACGAAAATGGAATTCTTGTCTGGGTTGACTTTCCATTTGCTTGTGGAAGCTACCCTTGCTGGCCAGAGATGCTGGAATCCATCGATAGAGAGGCAAGGGAGAATGTCAAGATCTTGAGACACCATCCCAGTATTGTCATCTATGCTGGCAATAACGAAGACTACCAGTATCAGGAGAGTGAGGGGCTTACGTATGACCCCCAAGATAAAGATCCTCAGAGCTGGCTCAAGACAGATTTCCCCGCTCGTTACATTTACGAGCACCTCCTTGTGCAAGTGTGCAAAGATCTGGTACCCGAGACATACTATCACTATGGCAGTCCTTGGGGTGGCAAGTCGTCGAGTGATCCAACAGTCGGAGATATTCACCAGTGGAATGTGTGGCACGGCAGTCAGGAGAAGTATCAGAACTTCGACAAGCTGAGCGGGCGCTTTGTTTCTGAATTTGGCATGCAGGGTTTCCCATCCGTCAAAACCATTGACGCCTACCTACCCAAGGGTAAAGATGATCCAGATCGACATCCACAGTCTGACATTGTGGATTTCCACAACAAGGCCGATGGGCATGAGCGCCGAATTGCTCTTTATCTCGCGGAGAACATCACATTTACTACGAGTCCCCTGGAACAATATGTCTACTCTACTCAGCTGATGCAAGGAGAGTGCCTGTCATCTGCATACCGGCTCTGGCGCCGCGAATGGAAAGGCCCTGGACGAGAGTATTGCAGCGGGGCTCTTGTGTGGCAGCTAAATGATTGTTGGCCCGTGACGTCTTGGGCTCTCTGCGATTACTATCTACGACCCAAGCTCGCCTATTTCACTGTGAAACGAGAGCTTAACCCCTATACCGTTGGGATCAAGCGAGCTGAACACCGCCATCCTAAGGATAAATACACAAGGGTTGATATTGAAGTCAAGACGAAACTAGAGATTTGGGCTTCTAGCTTTACGCTCGACGATGTCAAAGTCGACTGCGTTGTCAAGGCATGGGATGTGAAGACAGCGGAAGAAGTCTTTAGCAAGACCATCGCGTCATCACAGCAGCTGCTAGGCAACCAGACCACTGAGCTGGCAGTTATCGATTTTCCTGTAAAGACTCCTAATGCCGGGCTGGAGAACCGCACAATTGCTGCGGCATACATTTACCAAGATGGCAAGCTGCTCGCCCGCTATGTCGACTGGCCGCAGCCGCTTAAGCATGTGCATCTACAACAGCCTCAGAAGCTGAGTGCGAAGCTCTCTCAAGATAATGGCTCTGTCATTCTAAATTCGGATATACCGACCAAGGGTGTTGCCCTGGAATGTGATGATGATGCGGTCAAGTTTGACGACAACTTGATTGATCTTGTTCCGGGCGAGGAAGTTTGGGTGCGTGTGACGGGAGCTACGAAGGATACGGTGATTACGACGAGATACTTGGGGCTTCCCAACTAGATGCGTATCCTGTTCTTTGGACTCCGGTAATAGCTAGATTAATCCTTAGATAGATCAATAAGATTTGTTAGTGAACGATTAGCTCTTTATCATATTACGTTTTTGTTTCTACATGACAACATAATCGAAGAGTTAGTGTAAATACTAGATAATTACTGTAATAGCAGTTGTCAGGATTTAACTAGTGAGTATATCCGCGTAGTTAGGGGTAATTAAGCATTCCCGCGGACTAAAATTAAGCTTGAGGCGCTGATGCACGTTTCCGGAAATAGGCCTGGCTTTAGCAAAGTCCGGCAGTCTTGTGTAAGTCTAGGTATTAATTATCATGGTAACTTGGTTAACAATGGAGAGGCAAATAATTATAAAAAGCTCATGAATGAATGGAAATAAATAACATTTTTGTGAGAATTATCTTCATTCAGGCTGCAAAGCATTTTATTATAAGGACTGCAATTCTTATCATCACCCATTTATCAACAATGGCTTCAGAATCGTCTCTTCCTCCCACGCACCGCGCTCTTGTAGTGCGCTCAACTGACTCTCCATTAAAAGTCGAACAGCTCGAAACTCCAAAAGCAACTTCAGGAAATGCCATTGTTCGGGTGCTCGCGGCCAACGTCCTCTCCTACGGCCGCGAAATTCTCGACGGCACTCGACCCTACCCTTACCCAAAGCCATATACTCCCGGCGGAAGTGCAATTGGAAGGATTGCTGCCGTAGGACCAGATTCTACCGTTTTTGCACCAGGTCAACTTGTCCTTGTGGATGTCATGATTCGCGCCCGGGACGATACATCGACCAGTTACCTGATTGGTATACACAATGGATTCTCAGCTGGCTCTGTCAAACTCGCTACTGATGAGTGGCGAGATGCGACTTATGCCGAGTATCAGAAAGTTCCTCTAGAGAACTGCTATGCGTTAGATGAGGCCCGTCTTCTTGGAGATCCTGCCAACGGTGGCTTGGGCTACTCCATCGACGATCTCGTATACATCCATCGCCTACTTGTTCCATTTGGAGGATTCAGGGATGTTGATCTCAAGGTAGGAGAGACAATTCTCATCGGCCCAGCAACTGGGCCCTATGGCACCGCGGCAGTGAGCCTGGCTCTCGCATTAGGCGCCAATGTGGTTGCAATGGGGAGAAACGACCAAGTGCTGGAGAAGCTTGCCGCCTCCAGCAACAAGGTCAAGACGGTTCAGATCACCGGAGACGTTGAGAAGGACACCGCAACCATTAAGAAACACGGCCCAATTGACGTCTTTTTCGACATTTCGCCGCCAATGGCTGCCTCTTCGACGCACATCAAGAGTGGCATCTTGTCCCTTGCTCACTCCGGCCGAGTGAGTCTAATGGGCGGTATTGCGGGCGATATTGCCATTCCTTACGGAGTAATCATGTTTAACGACTTGAAGCTTCACGGCAAATTCATGTACGAGAGAAGGGATATCAGAATGCTGATCAAGATGGTGGAATCGGGCGTCATGGGGTTGGGAGAAGAGATTGGAGCTCGTGTCGAAGGCAAGTTTGGCCTTGAGGAGTGGGATCAGGCTTTTACGGCTGCAAAGGAGAATGCTGGGCCGGGCCAATATGTTGTCATTGCCCCCTGAACATGCAATTATAGTAGTTTGATTGAAACACATGAAATTATAGTAACAATTTTATTCAAGTTTGGCAAAACACTAATATTTCGCTATGCTTTTACATAAACAGCACTCTCTATGAGTCAATATAGGCCTTTCGGGTCTCGGGAAAGTCAACAAAGCCCTTTCCAGCAACAAAAGTCGTGTGCCACGGCTGATCAGCCTTGCCTTCAGCCAGCTTCAGATACGCCTCTGCGTGAGCAGCTCCTGAAACGCCGGTGGTAACTGCTCTGCCTTCAGCGGTTCGCTCATCAGCGAAATAGAAGCTACAGAATATTGCTGTTAGCACCATCTCGATTTATACATATAAAGCGTAAAAACACTTACCCGTAGCCCTTGGTCTTATAATGGACGCTTGCGCCACCAATCCAAGCGGCGGCAGCGCTCTTACCAGTGGCAAGCGTGACGAAGACCGGCTTGGACATGGTCACCGCATTGAGCCAGTTGCCAGTGTAGATAAAAGCCTTTGACAAACTCTTGTCCAGCCTCTCAAAGCCCGCGACAGCCTCTCTCGCCGCAACATAGGCCGAAGTATTGCTCAACTTCAGATCCTTCTCAAAGGCATCGATATCAACAGTAAAAGGGTTGGAGCTGTCCGCTGGCGGCGTCAGAGACGCGGCGTTGTAAATGACCACGTTGGGATCCGCGCCGAGCTTCTGGCGGACGGACTCGAAGATTGACGGGACAGTGTCTGGCTTGGAGAGGTCCGCAGGGATCTGGATCTGCTTGTCTGAGGAGGATTCCTGGATGGAGCGCGAGACGAGGGCGACTTTGTAGCCGGCTTGGGAGAAGGCGCTGGAGAGGGCTTGGCCGACATTGGAGCCGGCGCCGAGGATGAGGGCGATGCCTTTGTGGGAAGCCATTGTTGGTGTTGTTGGTGTTGTTGGTGTTGTTGGTGTTGTTGGTGTTATTGGTGATGAAGCTTGTTGCTTGTTGTTGATGGTGGGGTGCTTGGTGCGTTTGATGATGCTGTTGTATGAATGCTGATGCTTTGTCGAAATGTTTTATTGCTCGTTACATGCCCATCCTTTTATACAATACTGCTGTCAATGATCCATTACATACAACAATACATTAATCAGAATTTGTAAGCTCGCCAACATCGCTTCTATATTCGCTGCATTATGAGGCCACAATCCTCCACAACACACAATTACACTAGCACTCGCCTAGCACATCATAGCCTTGCAGTCAGATCTCGCCAGATCTGGTGTCAGATCCTTTTTTTTTCTTAGCGCGCGGTCGAATCAGGATGTCAGCAGCAAGACCAGGCTGACCCTCCAGCCTCATGATTTCAAATCGTGGCTGCCCACCCTTGATCAGGAGCGCTCGAAGTAACAAGGCTGAAGATTGATAATGATGCTGGCCTTGGCAGATTATACGTGTATATCGTAACAAGCGCGCGCGAGGTGGAGGCGTTTGGACTAGTGTGGTGGCGGTTGGTTTGTTAGCTTCGATTATGCCAACTTCCGTATTTCCGGTGTGCTTGGTAAAGAGTCGTTCGCTAGACTTCTATTGGAGGGATGGCGTGATGAATGATCTCTAAGTTTCATAGCAGCACTATTTCATCGATTTTCTACTAGTATTAGAACAACACACACAGCTATCATCTTGGTTTGTCAACTCACAAAAGAAGGGGAGAAGCCTAGTTAGGACTACCACTATGAGACACATTGCGCTTTGTGTTTGTGTTTGTATAGTGTTAATTCAAACTTGTATAGTCGTCGCTTCGAGCTGGTATAGCTATGCAATTCAAATGCGTATAAACATCAATTCGCTTCCGAAAGGTAGGCTGGCTCACCCTGGACAGTGAATAACCAGGTACAGTGATAAAATAAATCTTGCAGTGTTCCATCTTCGCTCCATCCAAATAAAACAAAAAGCGCCTTTTCCTCTCATAATCGCGTGCAAAAGTCTTACTGGAGTATCAATATTCAATCTGAACAAAATATGAAGCAACTCGACGCCAGAAACAAACAAGAAAGAAAAGCCAAACGTGTTAAATCATTGCTTGTCCTCCTTCTTCATTCATCCTCGCGTTCAAAATGAACTCGAATGGATCAATCGACATGAGCGTCTCCACGTCAATCATTCTCCAGTCAAAATCCGGATCTTGACCTCCCGGAAGGTTCATGACGCAAGAGTGGCCATCGGCACAAGAAGAAAGAATTGGTGGGATAGATTCTCGGGAGCCAGTCGGCGCATAGTAACTCAGTGACATGGACGGAACAGATGGCGGATACGCGGATACAGAAGTATCGGAGGGTGTCATGAGGTTGTTGGCCAGCGGAAGTGCTGGGTCGGTGGGGCATTGGGGAGTCTCGGCGAGAGTTCTGTCTATTGTGCGGCAGGGACAGTTGGCGCAGGGGGCAACTGTGCAGATGATGCGGTTAATGGCCTTGATGAGAATCTGCGTCTGAGATGGAGAAGCTTCGTTGGTTGGAGACATGGTGGACAGGCACTCCAGGGCAACGTGAAGCCACGGCAGGTGAGTGTCTACTTTGGTTTTGTCCTGGAGCATGTCGAATCCTAGGACATAGCAGGCACCTTCAAGGAAGAAGGAAAAATATTTCGTATCCTGTCGGAATAGTGTAAGTCCAAGTCCATTTTACTATAATGTTTTATGGCTGCTTAGCTTTCGCACATACCTTGCAAAGGGGGTTGATCTCGCAGGACTTGTTAATGTACTTGATAATCTGGCGAGCCGGCTCGAGGCAGTAATCACACGCAGTATCCAGCCAAGTCAGCTCTCGAAGCTTGTCGCTGGATTCGGCGCCGGTCTGGGGTGCCGGGCTTCTCAATTTTCCCCTGAGGACAAGGAAGGGGCGGAACATTAGTAGCTGAGCATGGTAATACACTAAGAGAGGGATTCTGTTAGTTTCCCGCCGCACATATGGAAGAAGGTATTCCTTGACATACTTGCAGCCATGATGGTCTTGCAAAATCCACATTCGCCAGTGCCCGGCTCTCCCTGAATGTCGAGGTGAACTTCATACAGTTGCTGCTCCACATACGCCTGAAGCTCATGTCGAAGCTCCGTCGCGGCGTTCCACATGTGGAGCAGCGACTCGTGGCGTTGATTATAGATACGCGCCGCACATTTCGAAATGAGCCTTGCCAGCCTCACAAGGGCCAGCAAATACTTTTCTTCGGCTGGCACGGGAACTCCACTGCCTGGATCCGAAATGGATGTCGGACGTCCGAGGCAGAAGCATATCCAGCTGCAGAAACAAAGTTAGCAAATGATGCATTCACTTTTGTAATAGAAGCAAAGAAGCAAAAGTGTACGTACGTCTCTTGGATGAAAAGGCTCCAAAAGGTCAGGCGGCGCTGCAAGCAGTCTCGCATCTGGCCTCGAATGCTGATGCCCCTATGTAAGCCAGCTGCCACCGCTTTCCTTGTAGCAACTCCAACATATAAGAATGCAGAGTGTGGCCGAGATCTCTCCATCTGGAATTGTGCCTGCAGCAAGGGAATATGGATTGCCTGGATGTTGACCAGTTCGGCCAGCTTCTCGGCTCCCTGTGACGCCCGCTGGAAGAGAAACTGTGCTAGGGTTTCCTCTTCCAAAATTGAGGCGCCAATGGCCATGGCCAGCATGACCACCACGACATCGGGAGAGTCAAACGAGAAGAGCCCTGGCGATGAGTAGAGCAGATCGGAGCGGCGACGGAAGTCTTCTTTGGTCAGGATGGGCAGCAGGTGCCAGTAGGTAGCCAGATACCGCTCCAGCACGCGATCGCACAGCTCCCTATTCAAAAACATTCCGGAATAGTCGTTTGATATTGTCGTAGACTTGCTATCGGCCAAGTCGCCAAAGAAGAGCTGCCGGTTCTGGAACAGATCCAGCCCGGGGCCGACCTGGGCCACCTCCTCACGCCGTGTTAGTGGGGTCTGGATGCCTGTGATGAGCCGGTAGATGGAGTGCAGCATCGAGAAGTTGGACGACGGCCCATAGTGCAGCTGGATGATGGATGATGGCGACGTCGTGATGGCCGCTACGCTGTGCACATGGAAGCCCCAGCTGTTGTCGTCCTTGGGCTTGCTGGTCTGCGACTCGTGGGCCGAGTGAGACGATCGGGGCGTGTCATCCGCGTTGCTGGAAGCGGACGAGGCCACCGTGGCCGTGGCCGTAGCCGTGGCCGACGCCTGCGACTTGCGCGGCCGGTTCCTGGTCCGAGTACGGTAGACGCAGGACACGTTCCGGTTGAGGCAGCGGGCACACGGTTCGCTGCCGTCGCATCTCGTTTTTCGGACCCGGCAGGCCTCGCAGGCTTTGCCGATGTTGGTCATGGCCCCCGGAGTTTTGGGAAGCGGTTTGGGCTGTCCGAAGCAGCGGAGAAAGAACGGGATATCCGGGTGTCACTAAACACAGCAACCGGTGCAGTGACGCTGATGGATGGCTATCGTCTGATGTCTACTGGGCGTTGAGTCCGAGAGACGGAATAAGAGCATAAGAGAACTAACACGTCGATTTCCGCAGTGGGAGGACCTGGGGGTTATTTGCAGAGCTGAGAGAGCTACATTTGTCAGCCCGCGACAAGTCCAATTCTAGATAGCCAGCATCCGAGTCCACTTTGGTCTTGCCGCAGTCCTATTGAGACAAAGCATTGCCCTTGCCCAGTGAAAGATCGTAGGATCATGGAACCTTCAGCCGTGGTGGAGCAGCGGAATTATCAGATGGGAGAGATCGCTTTCTGCCGCGGGCATTAGCCTTATCGATACCCTACTTTGCCACGCGAGCGGCAGACATGGTTGCCGGAAATACGCCGCTTATACGCCTGTCCGGATGGTTGCTGACAATTCCGCCGCCTATAATTCCGATATTTGCGACTTTCATATGAAAAGGGTCAGGCAAGAATAAAAACTAGCTCATGCGAATGGGGACTATCCTGCACAGATGCTTGGCGAGACACAAGGAGCGAGAGCCGATTGGCTGTGCAGATTCGTTCCTATCCCTACATAACTGATACTATTGATGCTATCGATACACCTATCATCAATGACCTGTGGTAGTATATGTAGCTAGGTGTACCTATGCATCACTTCAACAAAGCAACTTGGCTCTCGCTACAAGTCAACCATTAGTTTCATATCAGGTACTAGTACTACTACTGGATAGTCCTATATAGGTACCTAGGCCTATGAGTAAAGGACGATCCTCCCCCTCAGAGCTAATATGCAGATATGTTCTGACGAGGAATCATACATGGCCGGCAGTTGATATTCGACTCCTTCAAGATACATCACGTAAAGCCTCAATACATGTATGTACTAGGCCAAGACAATTCAGCGAGTGCAACTTCAATGTTGTCTACGTGTACCTCTTCTGCCAACTAGCATCTGATCTTATTTCCGCTATGGCGATAAGCTATCCGCACTAACAAGCTGGGCTCGCAACACTCAATACCAGCCACTCATTCCAACGCGCCAAGATGGAAAGTCGTTCATGCCATGTCCAGCATCTTTGAGATACACTTTGGGTCAAAGTATATCACTTCCAATGGGAATTGTCCTCATTTCCTAATGTTTTCAATTGGGTCAATTTTGAGTTGATTGCTGGAAAAGACAGCTCCAACTGATAGAAGTACCACCTTCTTAGTGCAGTAACCCGTTAAGACATTTGCGGGGCAGTTACAATAAATACTAGTAGGTATTTACATGATTGAAACACCTAAATATTATGTAATTCTCTAACTAGGGTTAAATACTTGTAAAATCCTCAGCTTCAAAAGAAAATTGATTGTTCAGTATTTGGTGAGAATAGTTTTACAAGAGAAACTCTATATCAGCTAAAACAATGTAGTAAATGTGATTTTGCATGCATAGTTGTTGGAGCATGAAGTGGGTGACAATTCACTTCACTGTTTGAAACTTGCACTGAAAAGAGAATGGTGAAGTCAGGTTTGCCGAGAAGCGCAGTATAACATGCAACAGGATGAGGCATCGAAAATCCAGCGCCATACATCCAATTTTCAATAAACACGTAAACCTAGCACTGAGGGGTGAAGAGCGATGCTCGCCTGGGTATTGGTAGCCAACACGGTGCAAATATACAGTATGTATTCTATATCTACACGGATGACTTCCTATACAATCTCACTCTTGCGCAAAAGCATTCGAACCGCTCAAAGTCGACGCGAATAAATACGGCAAAGCCTATTCTTCAGAGATTCGAAAATCCCCGCATCTCACATCTAAACACCTTATTAGATGGAACATCTCAGATGCATCAATGGGCGGCTCTTGGAAACGCCACTTTCCGAACGCGACAGCCATTCCTCGTGGCTTTGCCTGCGGTGGCACATCATCTTCAGCCTCACTTTCCAATATGTTCGAATCTGCACTACCATGACACCGATAGAAGCTCGCAATAGGATCCTCATACGTTTGCAAAAAGGGTACTATCCCTTGCGCCAAGACCCAGCGTGGCTTTGCCCCGGAATTAGAGCCTTGATCCTGGCCCGATACTTTTGGCTAGCTGCAAAGATGCTCTTCCTTGAGCTCTATTTCCTGGATTTCCTCTTTTGGAAGCTTCACGACTATGCTCGACGGAGGGATATCTTGCCTCGACTTACAAGGCTATTCTCTCCCGGCTTTCATAGACTTGCAGTACTTGCACCCAGCTCACCCTCCAGAATTCGCTACACAGTCGCGAATGTTATCGCGACAGCTTGGTACTTGTGGGCAAGATTCTTTCCTTTTCCATTGATAGCTTGGGTGGCTTTTGTTGCGATTAACTCACTCATGGGCCGTTACAAAATGAAAGCCACTACGTATAAAAGTGCCGTGCCTCAATACCGGTGTGAGGGATGACGTACAGTATTAATTCTCTACGGTAACTGTACGCGGACATAAACAGACTGAAGAAGCGATGTCGCAATCGCAACAGTAATCTCAACAAGCTCAAGGCTGTTTCACGGCAAAGCAAAACTTCACAGTCATCGAAACCAATCAACTCATCGATAATGGCTGCCAAGAGGCTCAAGATTGCCGTTCTAGACGACTACCAAAGAGCGTCCGAGCCATACTTGGCAAAGTTCAAAGATGACCATGAGATTGTTTACTTCCCAGATACCCTGCCGCCATATAACGGCGCAGACACCCCGCAGTCAGTTAAAGACGCTCTAGTAAAGAGACTCGAGCCATTCAACGTCATCAGTACGCGGCATCTTTTCAACCCTGTAATGAGTATCAATACTGAGTTTGCCCAGGTACTGTGAGAGAGCGGACGCCGTTTCCCGCCGAACTGGTGAATCAGCTGCCCAATCTACAGCTCCTCCTAACCCAGGGACGACGAAACCTATCGCTGGATCTGGATGCCTTCAAAGCGCGGGGCATCCCCATCGCCACAGCAATCCACAGCCATGCCACCGTGGAGAATGCCGTTGAGAGCACGGTCGAGCACATTGTGACCATGATCTTGGCCCTCGCGCGCAACATCGCAGAGGACGACGCGGGCGTCAAGGCGGGCATCTGGCAAAGCGGCCTCTGCACAGCCTTATCCGGCAAGACGCTGGGCATAGTCGGGCTGGGTCGTCTGGGTGGTGCCGTCGCGAGGATCTTCCACTTGGGCTTTGGCATGAAGATCATCGCTTGGAGCCAAAATCTGACTCAGGAAAAGGCCGATGAGCAGGCCGCTCACTTCAGGCTGCCAGCGACAACTGCTGATGGGGAAAAGACATTCAAGGCTGTCAGCCGAGAGGAGCTCTTCAAGACGGCCGATGTGGTCAGCTTGCACGTCGTGCTCTCGGACCGAACCCGGGGCTTTGTTACATCTCAAGATTTAGATCTGATGAAGCCGTCTTCATTCTTCATCAATTCTTCGAGAGGCCCGCTTGTTGTCGAACAGGATCTACTCAACACGGTCAAAGCCGGAAAAATCCGAGGCGTCGGGCTCGATGTGTTCTGGAAGGAGCCTCTTCCTCCTGACAGCGAGTGGAGGAATCCCAACTGGGGCAAGAATGGCACCAGCCATGTACTGCTCACGCCTCACACGGGTTATGTTGAGGAGCAGGCTATCGCGGGGTTTTATGAGCAGGCTGCCCAGGACTTGGAGGCGTGGATTGCGGGGAGAGATTTGAGCGACCGGCTGGCATAGTATTGAAGTTGATGAGTAGCGCTAGCATGAATATGTGATGAGGTAAATTGAACGATCAAAGCAACGTGAGATAAGACGGCCATAGCACAGATTCACGTAAGTCAGCGTACTGAAGGCTGAGAGATGGATAAAAGGGCTGCCTAGTAATCACGAAAGATATTGTGGGCAATGATCATCTACGCAGCAATATTTATATCTCTCCCCGCCAGCGTGTTGGCGTAGCGTAATCACGGGCCAGAAGTTTACAAAAATAATCATCCTTGGCCGGGGCAAAAGAGGCCTTAACCTGGACGAAAACCATCCACACCGGGCCATTCCACCAATTGAGCAGGTATGACAGAAGTATATTGGGCATGTCTTTGTCTCTTTTGTGTCTCACCTTATTTTACCCGTTAATTTTTATTTTTATTTTTTTCTTTTCTTTTCTTAGTGTGTTTCATCTCCATCTTGCATCATAACATGCCATCTATTTGTATCTTCGTGCGAAACTTTTGATCTCACCAGAACAGTGAGCCTAAAATGCAAAGCTTCGGAGATTGGCCTATTTGCTCTTTTACACTATTTCATCCCCATGTCTGATAATATAGTTTTACGATAGTACTACCTCATTCGCATGTGAGAGAGACTATGATGAAGAATTAGTTGTCTCCCTGCATTGGCCATCTTCAAGCTCCAGCTTGGAGCAAATATCCCTCAGTTCGCTACATCGAGTCGATATTTTCTCTCTTCCTCCTCGTCAACACGTATTAGGTGATTAGATTCGTGTCGCATGCCAATGATCGGGTGTTGTCTAACACAACAGAGGATGGTAACGTTGAACAGACAGAAAGCTACATCGGTAACAACACCCACACCTTTTTGCCCGCTGTTTTGTGGACTCAAATCGCTTAGAGCTCGTAGTGCTCCATCCCTAGATTCCGTCGCATTTTTGCCCTCATTTTCAATTGTGACTGTTGAAATGCAGCATCTATTAGTTGCGTTCTAAACATTTTTCTTCTACAGGCGATTCCCCCCCACGCTGTAAACGGCCAATCCCGTCTTGTCCCTTGAGCACCTGGGCGCGCTTCAATCTCGATAACTCATGACCAATCTGTAAATGCGCATATCGCGCTCAACGCTTTTCTCATTCATTCGAGCTGGGCGACTGCTATCCTATGGAAGCGGCCACGAGGGTTTCTCAGAAAAGTTTCTTGAACTATTTCGACACCGACGCTACGAGGCTGGAGATGCTCAATCACAAGCTAAAGTAGCATATCCACATATCCATCCAGTCCGAACATGGTAGAATAACCATGATTATATACTAGGCCCCTGCTAAATGCTTATCGGCCTTATTTCCAAGATCAGCAATTCCCGTTTTCCCCTCTGGAAATTAGTAAATCATCTCCTTACGTCTTTGCTTCACTCTTATCCCCCGCTTGGAAAGTAATCCAAGAACTATCGCTCCTCGGACAGAAGATGAAAATAAAAGACCAAAAATAAATGTTACGGATAAATTCGCATCGCTAGAAATAGACTACGCAGAAGAATTTGCTGGACTCGGAGTGAACTAATAGGTGGGAAAATGGCGTGGGATGCAGCTTGATCAGCTGAAGAAGACGACTAGCGGTCTTGGGATGTGTGCGCCGCCGATCCCTTGGCTGCCTTACGGGGTACATGGAGGCACTTGATTGAAACTACGGTGTACAAGGCTTCACAGGGCAAAGTCATGTTGCCAGGCATATCAGGTGGGCGAGATCATGTATAAGTCCGGATCACGTATTAAAATGCCGCTGTTTCGGCGACGACTGTATATCAGAGCCTAAGTCATATCTAGCCCTTTCGTCTCATAATACGCACAAGAATCGGATGATATTTGAATGTTGGATTGGCTTTTGATTATGCGAAAACCTCAACTGGGATGCAAAAATATTTCCATGAAAGGCTACGCCCGCCTTCTCCCCGCGGGTTTCCACCCATCCTAAATTGGCACTTGCTTTAGAAGCGCCCCATCGATCTAGTCAGGGGCTAAACGTTGCCTGCAGATGATGTGACAACCCGATGTGACAATGTCAGCACTGAACTCAGGACAGGTCGTGGTCTATCGTCCGGAGACCTGCCGTATTGTCTTCACCTCAAGCGCCGGCCAGCGGCGCGCCCACAAAGTGCTGTCGGCCGAACAAGCCCAAAAGGGCCTACCAAGGGCTACTAGCAACAACATGCCGTCTTCATGCTACGCAGACCTTAGCTCCATCTCGTAAATTGATTAGTGAGTGCTGGTGTTTTTGTTCTTGGTTAAACGGAATAGGTAGGTCATCACTAGTAGCCTATTGAGACGTGGATCAGCATGCTACCGATGGTCCATCACGAGCTTCTGGGCTTCCTCAATCGAGCACAAGGACGTACAGTAGAATGGTAGACAAGACGTGGTATATAATGGAGCAGCCGCCCTTTCTGCTAGATTGTCCTTCTTTCTCTCGTAGCCGCCGCCTTCTTTTACTATACCGAACGGATACTCAGCAGCATCTGGCTTGTAAATCAAGATGAAGGGATCAACCATGAAGAGCCTCATCGCCGGCTCCGGCCTCGTCTCGTTGGCTGCCGCCATCACCCCCATCTCCGACTCCGACATGACCAACCTGCTCAACGCCGGAGGTGTCGAGCTCGCCATGAAGGCCCAGCCCATGTGGTTCTTCGGCCAGGCCATGAACCAGCCCCCGTGCATCCCAACTTTCGCAACTCAGCCCGATGGATCGCAGACCGCTTCGGCTGCTCTTTGCGCCTACCCCAACGTTGGCTGCAACTGCCGCACCCCAGGCGTTGCCATCGGGAACCCATCGCCTTCATTCCCTACCTACTACAGCTACGAGAAGTGCAATTCTACCACCATCCGAATTCAGTACTCGCTGTTCTACGAGAAGGACGGGTAAGGATTGCCATTGAATTCTGCCTACTATCAAGCTTTACCATACTGACTGAGATAAATTAGCACTCAACCCGAGGGCATTCTGGGCCACCCTTAGTAAGTACTAGTACTAGTCGATTTGAAAAAGGCCACGTTCGATCACTAACAGCATCAAGCGACTGGGAGCGTGTCATTATCGAGTGGGCACAGGGTTCAGATGGAAACTGGGTGCAGAACCAGGCTCTGCTTTCTCAGCACTCCGGCTATGGTCGATTCAACTGGGCCGATATCCAGAACACTTTCAACACCGCGGATGGTAGTCTTGCGTTAGGAGGTGACAACGGCCGCCAAAACCTCGACCACCCCAAGGTAAGGCCCCGATCGAGCTTCTAGAATGGGCGCATTCGTTGGGTTTCAGAGACAATTACTTACTGGGTCTAGGTCTACGTTGCGTGGAGCAAGCACCCCAACTACGACGACCGTAACACGGTAAGAATAAGCATTTCAATGTCTGAAAATATTGAAACAAACTCCTTCTAACACATGTGGCACAACAGGGCTGGAACGACCCTCTCTCTCAGCTCGACGACAACGCTTTCCGTAGCCAGGACTGGTGGTATTTCCCCGTTGCCTGTAAGTAATACGCCTCAAGACACCAGTCAATCCTGATGTACTTGTTTTTGTATTCATTGCTAATGCGTCGCAGCTGACTACCTCCGTGCTGATGGCTCGACCGCTCTGGGCCAGCTTCTCAGCAGCTACAACTGGGGCGACGCCTCTTCCAACCCCCCTTCCGTCCACAACAGCCTCTGCTCTCAATAATTTTAATATGGACTTATAATGTATATAAGCAACGGCCTAGAAATGCAAATATATTGACGTAAAAACGACCAATTGAAAGACCTGCGTGCCAGAGGCTTCTTGTGATGTTGAACAAACGGGGCGATGCATGTCTTAGGCACTTTGCGGTTAATTCCCATTCAAGTCAATCTGCTAGATGGTAATTGGCTACTTTGGAAAAGCTTCTGTTACTCTCGTACCGCGTCCCTAAGACAAGATAAAGCGCCCTGTTTAAGACATGTATGATGCAATCAGCCTTATGGCCGAGCCCCACAGCCGGCCCGGGCCGGTTGACTCCTCCGAGATCCCCGTACCAACAGCACAGCTGAATTTGAGCAAATGAGTATCTTCTATAAGAAATCGAGAGGATACGAGCTTTGATACTTATTCAGAGTCAATCAGCTCCTTTGATAAGTGAGATGTAATGCTACGTATTGACGCTTCAAGCGGACGGTGCTGTTGAAATTTTGTGATATTCTTACAGCTGGGATCAGATACAGCATCCGACATGGGGGTGCTATTCTGCTCAGCTCGTGTGAAAAGCGCTCTCCGATTGGTGATAGGGCCTCATACCACTGCCTAAAATACAGCGGCAGTACCGCTCTCAACTTGGATGCTCGTATTTGATCCAATGCCGTTGAAGCTAAGGCTTAGCTAGATCCGATCCCCCTGATTACTCATCCAACCACCGCGCGCTGAGCTCCGTAAAGCTCCGCGCTGCGAGACCGGATGCCGGCGTTAAATCTCCATTTGTCAGGTTAGACGACGACTGATGCATCCGCACAAGTTGCTCGCGTCCCAAACGGGCTACCAAGACGCACAGCCTCGCCTTTTTCCAAAAGACGGTCCAGCGGCGAGTCCGTGCTTGCAGTTGCCAGTTTTGAGTTTTGGGAAGGAGCTCGTCCGGCGCGTCAGGTGATCGGCACCAGCGATGCTGATGGCCAAAATCCAGCCCGGCACTTGTCTTATGCATCACCACACATGTCCATTGTCGACCTCTTGGCATCACGATCTGCGCCGCCAATTGTGCCTGATTTTCACTGCCAGACACGCCAATCCACTCAGGCACCGGCTGTGGCTCAATTTCACTTCACTGAGACGGCCTGGCACAGGGACAGGGGAGCGGGGATCTAACTGCATGAGACGCGGGGCAGTGCTTGGGCTTAGACCCCCCATTGTCTGCGAGCCAAGCACAGGGTGCATTTTTGAGCAATCACCAGCAAATATCTCCTTCGCAGACCATCGTATTCGCCGCCCCGGTGGCCTGCCATGTCGTCGGCAAAAGCCACCAAGAAGAGCGCGTTCTCGTGCGAGCCGTGCCGCAGACGCAAGGTGAGCTTGGCTGCATCGAAGCGGTGCCATGCGTCCGTCTCTCTAGCCTCCGCTGCACCATGTTGTAGTGGCCGCCAGCAGAGATTGGTCCCAAAGTCTCGAGCTGACTTTACTGGCGGAGTTAGGTCAAATGCGGCGGCGAGCAGCCCATGTGCCAACGCTGTGCTGCTCGCAATGATGAATGCGTATACAAGCTGTGTGTGACTTGACATCTCACTCGTCGTGTCTTATAAGAGTCTCAGCGCTGTGGCTGACACGTCTGCAGGAACCCAACGCTGTCGTACACGCAGCGTCTTGAAGACCGCATCAAGGAGCTGGAAGAGCAGCTCGCAAAGGCCACGGCGACATCAACACCACCACCTGCGGCCGCCGAAAGCAAATCCCCCATATCAGCTCACTCAAGCCCTTCGCCCTTTGGTGGCACCCCGCAAGATGGACGGCAGCAGGTCGACGACAGCATCAGCCGGAGTTTCCGAGGACTCAAGATAGACGACAAAGGCAGCATCACGTACCACGGGACTACGAGCTTTTTCAACCTCCCCAGCGATCGCACCTCCGCGGTCACGGCAGTTGACGTGCACCCCACGGCAACCGATATCGAGAGTCAGCGAAGAGAACGACTCGTCTCAAATGCGTGGCAACAACGCGTGTTGGAGGAGCACTCTGGGATTCCTGTACGTGCCACGATGTGTTTGGTGGATATTCGATGGCATTCGTCTCATATGTTTTGCAGGAACCGTTCCAGACACTTCTGAATGTTCACTGGTGCTGGATCCAGCCCCTTTTCAACTTCATCTACCGACCTGCATTTACCCGTATGCATCATTGTAACCCTTTCCATTCGTGGAGATTTGCGATATTTACAGTTGTGTAGGCGATATGCAGTCCTTGGGTCCGTATTACTCTCATACACTGTTAAATGCCGTTTTGTCGCATTCAATACGCTGGGCAAAGAGCGATCCCAATACACGGCGAATACTCGACGAGTCGTACGACGGTGGCGCAGTCTTTGGCAAGCATGCTCGCAGTATGCTGTTTGAAGAGCTGAGTAGAGGTGTCTGCACGATTCCGACTATCCAGACACTGCTCCTCCTGAGCGCTCAGGAGTGCAGTCTCGGAAACACAACCCAAGCTTGGACATATAGTGGCTTGGCGTTCCGATTGATTGACCACTTGGGAATTCATGTCGACGGGGAACGCTATCCTGGGTCAGTGCAGTTCAGCGACGAAGAGGTAGAGATCCGGCATCGAGTCTTTTGGTCGTGTTATTTCTGGGACAAAGTCATTAGTCTTTATCTCGGTCGATCACCATCGTTAAAACACACCATGGTATCTCCGCCTCAAATCATGTGTAAGTCTATTGCCGTGTTTATGTCGATACCTAATATCTGGCTGCTAATGATTGCTGATATAAAGTTGATGACTCTGCTGAGAACGAGTTGTGGGTTCCCTTTGGAGCGCCTCCACTTCAAACGGCACCGTGGAAGTACCCACCTGCCACGGCCCATTCGGCGTCATGTTTCCTGAGCATGTGTCGTTTGTCCGTCATTTTCAATGAGATTTTGATTCACATGTATGATCCACTGATGCAGAATACAGAGGCCGAGATTCTAGAGTGCTTGGTCGCTCAGGAACCGGCGTTGCAGCAGTGGTGGGAAGAGTTGGCGCCATATCTGAAGCTCGATCCTGCAGCTCTGCCGGCACTGGCCCCACCGTCTCACATTGTCACCATGAAGTAAGCTCAAGCCGTTGGGAGTGTCGAGTTTGCAGCTTGTTAACCATTCAATAGCTGCCTCTTCCAGACGTTTAAAATTCTCCTTTACCGTCCAATGCTCACTCGAAGAAATCTGGAAGACAATGTAGCCTCTCATAAGCGTTATCTTGTCGAATGTGTAACGTCCGCTACGGCCATCATAGCCATCTTTGACCTGTTTTGTCGCACATTCACCATGAACTATTGCGTACTGTCTCTCGCATACAGCCTCTACATTGCTTCATCAATCTTCTTGCTCCAGGTTCAAGCTGCTCCCGATGATGCACAGGCCCTGGGACGCCTGAATTACTGCATCCAGGCTCTGAAGCAGGTCAAGACTTTCAGCCCAGGTACGTCATGGATTCAAGAATCTTACCCTTGATATCACCCCCTTCATCCAGACTGAGACTGACACATCTTAGTCATCGGTAGCGCCATCGACTTGTTGAATAAGGAGCTTTCAGCAATCGGGATTTCACTGGATGTGCAAGAGCAGTACCAGCCCCCTCCAGCCCCCTCTCCTAACTTTCATCCAGAAAGCTCAATGTATCCAAGTGTCGAAGTGCCCTCTCCGCAACCACAGACGGCTCACCCGTTATTTCAAGTGTCTCCAGCGCCTAGCTATGGCTCCCAAAGCATGTCCATGGATCCAGGCATCTTCGAGGCCATGTCGTCTCTAGAGCCACTCAGTGTTCGCGTTGGCGCCCTTCCCAATTCCGAGAACCAGGCCCCTTTCCAGTGAATGAGGTGGCCTGTCGTCTCATCCTTGGAAAGCCGTGTTTAAAGAACAGTCGAAACGCTTGAAGGAATAATAAGATTTCATCGTAGCTCGATTTTCCCAGAGCTAGGCTGTGCCGCAATAGGAGGCAACGCCGGCTTTACCACAAACTTTAGGTACAGTCCGACACATCACCCTCTTGTAATTCGTGGCGTCAATTTTGAGCATAATTCCGCGCGATTGTCAATTCGAGCATTCGGGCTGACGTGTCATTCAGGACTGTATTCATTAGGCCAAATGAGAAAGAAAATCACGATTTGCCCCCCCGTACCATTTTCCTGTTGTCCACGTGGCATGATCTGAACCATGGCATGATCCCCATGTGCGTGTAATAAGGATTCGCAGTTGAAGGGTTCTAGTAGAGCTCTAGCACAAGTGAAATGTAGCTCTGCTGGAGGGAGACTTACAGTATATATTGCTGGAATGATGCGGGGCGATTTCCCCAGCTACCAATCCTTCGGTGAAGCTCCGACTGCAGTTGACAGGTCGATTGAGAAGCAATACCATGGTGCACAATGATTAGGGCGGAAGTTGCCCGAAAGACTATGGGTAGTGGCCTTATTTCCCCGTCCCGGCTGTCGGCTGCAGCCAATGCGTGGAAGCAGCAGTAAGACATCGGCTGCGGGGTCTTTGATAGGACAGGAATCTGTTTACTTGCCAGTGAGTAGTGCTCCACGTATGCTGGATAATACTACTACCTACTTCCAATAGCGAATTGATGGAGCCATCCATTTTTTTTCTTCATTAATGGCACTAGTAGTAGTGCTACTTTGATAACAAGCTACAGCGTATCTCCATATACACCACCATTGAAGTCGTTTATCTCATCGGCGCACACTGACTATTGAGCAGCCATTGATACATACAGATTGAGACCCTCTTCTTCTAGGGTCAACGAGGTTATAGGATGTTATACGCTGTAATACGCATTCGTGGCCGATTCCAGTCTTTACTCCGCCTGAGGGAGACATGACCCACAGACACGCGGTCACCACAATCATGAGTAGGATTAGAGACCTTGCTGAAGAAAGAATCCATTGCATGGGAAAGGCGGCTGATAGATCATATTCCTGCTCATGGATATGCACATGGCTGAATGGACGGCGATCGATGCAACTCTGAAAGCAGCTAGTGGTTGGCTTCGCTTCCCCAAAAGAATCATTGTTGTTCTAATTCGTGGAAATTCTTGATAGGGGCAACCAAAAAGGTTGGTATACAGTATAAGCCTATGCTACCATCTGGCAGATGGCTTCGCAGAAGCATTATTCTCCGAGATACCGAATTGCGAATGTCAAGTTGTCCTGGTAACTGGGATATAGGCTACATCTTTTGATGCCAGGAGGACGGAGCACACTCACAGGGAGGCAGTCGAGTACTGCCTCGGCTTAATACCTCCTGATGTTGTCATCGAAATACTAAAAGGTGCTGACCAACAAAGAGCTATTGATAGGTACTACTCCGTATTACGCCTTGGTTTGGCACTTACATAATGGAGCCCGGCTTCGATGGTAAGACGTTCTGGCCTTCTCCAAAGTATATCCTGCACTTATTATGCAGGGAGAGAAGAACGGGAATGGCAAGACAAGGAAGCTGCTGGTGCTGCGTATAACTATTGGCCTGGACTGGAAACAAGCCCGGCAGCAACACTGACTCCTTGCAGTACGACGGCGATGATGAGTGATAGGTGTTCCGCAACGAGGAGGCGCCCCGCCAGGGATGGTCATGCTGCTTTTTTAAAACTCCTCGGGATACCATACTTGTGCAAACTAGATCCATGGCGTGCGCATCCAAACGATCTCTCGGTCCTCCAGGCTTCCCGGGCCGTAACGACTTACGCAAATTGGAAATGACAGGGTCAGCGGGAGCAGCCGTATTGGTCCGTTGGGTGAATTGGGTTGTGGAACATGATCTGCTTCGTCACCCGTCGGGAGGAGGCACAACGCTGAGGCCGCCAGCAGCTATCATGGAGCCTCACAGCTGTTGTGGGACTCTGGAGCTTGGGCATTACGGATCGGAGCACTCGGAAGTTGGCCGACAGGACCCCCCCACGGATTCGCGTTTGACGGGCAGATGAGCTGCTGAGCTCCATTCCACTGGCACAAGGGGCGTGCAGCGTTTTGCAACACCATGAATTTGTGTTGGTGATGTTTTTATGAGCATCATGGCTTTTTACAACACGCTTTTACGTCTATCTGTACCTATGACCTTTTTGGTAAAAAACGAGGCGCAGTCTCAGCTCAAGCCTGGCCCCCTTTAATCAGAATCCTCTTGGCCTCAGGCAAACAGAACGGCGTCTCAATTGGGTCTGGCTGTGAGGCGTCTTAGCCGGCTGAATATCGGCTAAGCTCGAAGAGTACTGTGTACCCAAAGGAGCGCAATGTAATGAGCGAAAAACTTGGTACATCTACTTGCCATCTGGCAGCTGCATGGACCTCCACCTACCACGCCGGAGCGGGGGTCCGCGGAGCATGGCAGTGAGAACGAGGCCAAGTTGGGAACAGCTGCCATTAGCTGCGGTCGAGACGCCGAACCCTTTTTCATCGCGACAATGCCTGGCCTCTCGCAGCGGTGATCCGGCAAGTTTGCAATCTGGGGAGCCCTCTTGGACCTTGCGACGTCGATTCGGCCAACGTCGAGCCAACAGCCCAGATCGAGACGCTGCATGGACGGAACGAGCCACGCGGGCTGAACAAGACAATAGCGCCCTTTGCAAGAGCCACTCTGCTCCATAGCATCCAGTCCCGGTTTACGCGTTAGTGGGAGAGAGCCGTTGGCGGGTGTGCGCGATTCGTCGGCACTGATCGAAACTCCGCGGCAGTTGGGACTGCATCGCATCGCATCGCATCGCATTGACTGCGCAGTTCGGCAGCGTGTCGCACGGCTATCGTGACGAGCCTTGGCGGGCTGTCGCTGTCTGCTGTTTGCAATCCGGCCCTGATTAGTGGGCAGACGGGGGCTGTTAGACTGGATCTGCAGAGGGTCGCAGCGAGACCCAGCGGCCAACCATGGCTGGCCTCAATCTCTTTTACATCTTGACCGTGATGGTCATTGCCAGCGGATCTATCCCAAAAGGTAAGCCTCATCTGAGTTCCAGTTCCTTTTACACCATTCCACAGAGCGTTTGGCGAGACAATCTCCCCTTTTGTAAAAATGTGTTACTCTGCCGATCATTACCCCCTTTTGCATGGGTCGGTCGGTCGGTCGGTTGGTTGGTTGTACAGGATGGGCATATGCCGTGCATGGCTAACATGTCGACTGTCGATTAGGTTACGATGAAGGTGGATTTGCTGCCGTGGCAGACATGCCCTCTTTCCTGCAGGACTACGGGCTTTCACGAAGACAATGGGGAGGCACGAGGCACGAGCTCATCTCCACAAAGGCCAACATCACGTCGTTTGGCGTGTTGGGGGCGGCTTTTGGGGCCATTGTTGCTTTGGCCATTACGGACCGGATCGGTCGTCTGCGCACATGGCAGACCTTTATGGCGATTTGGATGAGCGGCTTCTTCATCACCATCTTTGCGTCTGGAATAATGGGTCTTTTGCTGTTTTCGCGGCTCTTGTCCGGTCTTGGTGCCGGCGGCCTGACGGTGGTATCTCCTCTGTATCTGACTGAGATTGCTCGAAGCAAGAATCGGGGCATGGTGGTTTCGGTTTATATGGTACTGCTGCTATCCTTTCTCATGTTTGGTAAGTCGCATAAAGAACCCATCCAAGTTTGGTGCTAGTTGCTGACATGGTTATACTACAACAGGCTTCTTCATCAGCTATGGCGCTAGAAGGTCCCTGCCTCGGACTAGGGAACAATATCGCGTTGTCTTGGGCGTGCCTTTGATCCCCGGAGGCATTGCCTTGATGTTTTCCTTTTTCATTAGGGACACCCCCCGCTGGCTTGCGTCTAAAGGCCGCAACGATGAGGCTCTGTGGGTATTGTCCCGGCTGCGAAAGGCACCGGTGGACGATCCAGGCGTGAGAGAAGAGTACGCACAGATTATTGAGCAGGTGCGAGATGCGAAGCAAAGACTCTCTGACACGTCGACTTGGACGATTGTCAAGGAGGTTGTCACAACCTCCAGCTATCGTAACCGCTTTTTGTTAGGACTTGCCATGCAAACAATTGCTCAGTGGACTGGTGGCAATGGTATAACATACTATATCCCCATGATCTTCCGAATTGCTGGCGTCCGGGGAGAAAATCTATCCTTGGTTACGTCTGGTGCATATGGTGCGCTCAAGCTTGTGTTTACCATGATATTTACGTGGGGCCTCATCGACGTTCTTGGTCGACGAGTGTGCTTCATGAGCGGCCTTGCCATTCAAGGCGCCACACACATCTACATGGCTGTTTACTCGGGAATATGGTTGCGAGATCATAACAGGCCTGCCTCTGATGGTGCCATTGCGTCTGTTTTCATCTACGCTGTCGGATGGTCCATTGGGCTTTGCACGATCCAATATCTGTACGGCACGGAGATCTTGCCCACACGCATCAGAAGCGTGTGCTATGCGACAAACATGACGGTGCACTGGTTCTTCCAATTTGCCGTGGTGCGCGCAACGCCGCCCATGCTTGACAGGCTCGACATTTGGGGCGCGTATGTGTTTTGGGCATGCATCTGCTTCGTCGGATTGGTGCTCCTTGGGCTTTGGGCTCCAGAGACCAAGGGCGTGCCGATGGAGAGGATGGATGAACTTTTTGAGGGGCCGTGGTACATGGGGTGGAAGGCCAAGTTGGGCTCACAGCGCGATTTAGACGATGGGATACTTGGGAGGCAGACGACCCAAGACCTTGGCAGTACACCTGAAGTGGTGCAGGTGAATGGGCAGAGGTTTGTGACAAAGTATCCTTGATCTTTTTTTGTTGTTGTTGTTGTCATTATATTCCCTGTATAGCCCTTTGTATCATATCCTCTGTCTGTTGTTTGAAGAGGCTTTTCCCTTTTATTTCTTTTCTTACCATGAGCA